GAGCAGGGCTGGAGCAGACTCTAGTGTATTTTAGGAATGTTCATGTTGTTGCTTGACTATGGGTGACACCTGTCAGCAGGACAGCTATCCAGATGCACTGGGCACTGTTCTAGGACCCGGGTATCACAGCTGTCAGCCAGGAACATGCTCGAAGGTGCCCAAATAGCAAATAAACAGGTGAAATACAAAGCAAGACTGACAGTGAGAAGAACATCAAAGAAAGACAGTAGAGGAGGCTTGGGATCATGTGTGAGCCAGGAATGGCTCACTGGCAAGGCAATGGCCAGGCAAAGAAATGACAGAGGTGAGGGGGCCAGAAGGCCGGCCAAGCATGCGCGAAGCTCCAGACAACAGGTGGTTGTGGGGACCAGCAGAAGCTCGGGTCTCAGGAGCAGCCCGGAACACCAGCTGGAGATGCGCCCCATGCAGGTGTACTGAAAGCAAAGCAATGGATTGAGCTTCCCAGGAAGTTCAAACACCCCAACTTCTGAGGACTGGAGAGGCTAAGAGGATGAGTGACAGGCGAGGGGCTCAGGTAAGTCGGAGAAAAGGCAGCAGCTGAGGTCAACCTCCAAGTCAGCAAGGTAGGGTGAAGAAAGCATTTTCAAAGAAGACAGACACCAGCCAAGCAGCTATGAAGACAGAGGAAGGGTTGGGTGGCACAGCCTGAGGCCTCCTGTGACCTCGGGGCCTTCGGCAGGAGGGATGGAGACAGCTATTCCGGCAGCTGCTGTGGGCAGGAGTCTACTGAGGCGCAGAGGAATGGGAGGGGTTGGGGGTCGGAGAGCTCGTGAGGACAGGGTGAGCAGCACCTTTCATACAGATGAATGTGACGCCGGCGGGAAGGGCTGGGAGGATGAAGGGCAGGGGTGGACCAAGCCCAGGTCTCTTCCCACCCTCCACCCCCACCAGGGAAATTGGAAGAGAGATCCTGGGCTGTGAGCTAAAACAGAGATGTCACAAAAAAAGGAGGTCCAGGGGCTGGGATTTAGCTCAACGGCAAAGCGCCTGCCTGGCAAGCACAAGGTCGTGAATTCTGTTCCCGGTACTGGAGAAAAACAAAACAAAAACAAAAACAAAAACAAAAAAAAAAAAAAAAAAGGAGGTCCAGCTCTGGAAAACCCCGTTTGCTTCCCTTTTTTTCTTTTCCTATGAGTCTTCAGGAAGAGACTTTCCAACCTAGTGTCCTACTGGAAAGATCCGAAAGTGTCCTCCATCTCCACACTGAGAGCCTCACTTGGGAGAACTGGCAGACAAGTCCTGAAACTTCTTTTCCACAAGGTTGAAAACAACCCAGAAATATCCTCGTGACTTTTAATCTAAGAAACTTGTAAAATATACCCTTATAACATTAGCAACATATTTCTCTTAGACTAATCCGAAACTTTAGAAGTAGAAATCATTAATAAATGCTTACCTATATTGCCTCCAATTTCATATAACCTTTGGTTCTGAATCTTAATACACTCCGATGAACCATGACTAGAAAGACAAGAACACAGTGCAATTTTAATCTCATTTCATGATCTAAGGGAAAGCTGTGCACTCAGCCACACAGCGGCAAACAAGCCATTCTGCCCCGATGAAATACATGCCACAAGACTCTACCTTGACTGCAGTTAACAACTTTTATTTTTCCTGTTTGACTTGGACAAGAAGCTGAAACCCAGGGAGGGTGGGAAGATTCTGGCCAAGACCAGTGCTGCGGAGCCCGGAGCAGGCAGCCCGCTCCAGCTGTGCCCACTGGGGCACTTGGTAGGCAGCGGGTGCCTCACATCAAGCCTGGCCAGCAAGCAGCTGCCTAGTCCCTGGGTCCGGTTCTCCGCATTCAGGAGAAGTCAGGCTTCACTGCTGCACTTGCCAAACGCTGAATGGCAGCCTCTCCCCAGCCCGCAGATTTCCAAGGCTGCCTAGTGCTTTGCTTTGCAAGCTGTCTAGGGCTGACACCTATGCAACACTCTGCCTTCTTTTTTTTTTTGGTTTTTCTCCGGTACCGGGAACCGAACTCACGACCTTGTGCTTGCCAGGCAGGCGCTTTGCCGCTGAGCTAAATCCCCAGCCCCCCACTCTGCCTTCTTAAAAAAAAAAAAAGCAAGCAACTCAGAGACAGTAACTGCCCCGTTCATTTTCCCCACCCAAAACTAGAATGTCAAGGTAGAAGGATGTGAGAGACAGTGCTAGTCTCCATGCTACTTTGGGTAGGACTTTGAGCTTGGTTACCTCAGACAGACTCTCCTGGCCTTTTGGTTGTGTGGAAGTAGGCTGCATGCTCTGTTGTGTTTGCTTGTTTAATCAACCATCTTAGACAATGGTAGATTTGCATGTAGTAGTAAGACAATACGTACAGGGTCCACACACATTTTACCAAGTTTCTCCCCATAGGAAAAGCTTGCAGAAACTCCCGTGCGATGACCAGGCCAGAACGCTAACCTTGATTCAGTAAAGCCACTTAAGATTCCTACCATAAGGACCAAGGGACCCCCTGGTGGCCTTTTCGTGGCCATATTCGCCTCCTTCCCCCACCCGCCCCAGCCTGACCTCTGGCAGCCACCGCCCCAGCCTGCACTTCCGTGCTTGTGTGGTTGCACAGATGTTCTGCGAATGCAAACATGGTGTGGAATCTTCTGCATTGCTTCCCCACTCACTCAGTGTCCACCCTTGGTGACGCCCTAAGTTGTTTGCGCTGCTGAGTGCTGTGTTCTGGCTTACACGTATCACAGCTTGTTCAGTCATTCACTTGTTGAGGGACAGCTAGGTTTTATCCAGTTTCGATTGTTTAAATAAAGCTGTTGTAAGTTTGTGTAAAGGTTTTTGTGTGGGCAGCATCTTCCTTTCTTTGAGATAAGTGCTCTGGGATAGGAAAGCTGGATTAGATGGCAGTTGGATACCTAGTTTTATAAGAAACTGTTGAACCGTTTCACAGAGTTACTGAAATATTTTGTATTCCCACCAATGTATGAATGGCTTGGTTTTTCTGACTTTGTGTTTGGTGTTGTCACTATATTTTACTTTAGCATCCTCACAGGCGTGTGATGCTCTGTCATCAAGGTCTTAATTTGCGTGTCCTTACTGGCAGACGTTATGCATCTTTTTATGTGTGTCTGCATCTGTGGATCTCTTTGGTGAGATGTCATCTGCACGTTTCTGCTATGGTTTGGCTCTTGACACTTTTGGGAGGTGATGGAGTGTTTAAACACGAGGCCTGGCAGGCGAGCTTCAGGTCACTGCGGTGCTCCTCGAAGGGATGATGACAACCTCATCTTCCTTCTCCTCTTTTCACTCCCAGGCCAAGCAGGGAGCAGTCCTGTTCAGCCACATGCCCATCACAATGTGGGACTGGAGCCTCCAAAATGATGAGCCAAAAGAAATCTTTCCCCTTTTTAAGTTGATTGTCTTAGGTATTTGTTACAGTGACAGAAAGCTGACTTACACAGTCCGTTTCATTAAACATCTGCTCATGTCCCTTGTCAATTTTCAAATTGGAGTTTCTTTTTTACTGTTTGAGTGTTTTGTTCATATATCCTAGATATAAGTAATTATGGAATATGTAGTTTACAAATACTTTGCCTCAGTCTGTTCATTCTACTCATAGGGTCTTTCAGAGAATGTATTTTCAATTTTGACAAAGTCTACTTTGATATATCAGTTTCATTTCCTCTGTATCACGCTTTTGGTGTCAAAACTAGTACTCTTCACAAGTACTAGTCCACAAAGATGTTCTCCAGGGTTACTCTCAAAAAGTTCCATAGTTTTGTGTTACACATTTAAAAATGTGTGACCCTTTTTGAGTTAACTTTTGTATAAAGTGTGAGTTTTACACTAAGTTTCACCTCTTAGTTTTTTGTTTGTTTTTCCTTTTTTGACCTATGAATGTCCAGTTGTTGTAGCACCATTTGTTGAAAAGGCCATCCTTCCTCTATGGGATTATTTTTGTACTTCTATGAAAGATTAGTTCCTAGAATAGTCAGATTCACAGGGACAAAGCATAGCGGAATAGTAACCAGTGGTCCTGGCAGGGAAGAACAGGCAGGCTCAGCATGGGATGATAAAAATACCCTGGAGGAAAAGGATGCTGACCACTACACAACAGTGTGGATGTACCTAATGCCACTGAATTGTGCCCTTAAAATGTTAAGGCTTTATGGTATGTATAATTTACAGTATCAATTTTATAAAACTGCAGCGAGGAATATCACTAATATTACATTGTTTTTACTAGAGAAAGTATATAGTTGCTTTCAGATAATAAAGCAATTCCTTCCACCTTCTTCTTCAAGGTTGTTTTAGTTACTCAATAGCCTGTACTTTTCCATAAAAAAATTCTTAGGATAAATGTGTGTATGTTTGCAAATTATCTTGCTAGGATTTTAATAGGAATTCTGTTAAAATTATATATCAGTTCGGCGATAATCATTAACTCAACTATGTTGTCTTCCAATCCATGAAAATGGTGTATCTATCCATTTCTTTAGGGCTTCTTTGATTTCTTTCATCAGTACATTGTTATTTTTAGCACACAGATCCTCTGTTTACTTAAATTTATATCTTTTTACACTGACTATATACAGTACCATATTTTTACTGTTGGTTTTAAATTCAGTTTTCAAATGTTCCAATTTGATTGATTTTTGTGTGCTAATATTATAAGATTGTGGCCTGCTGAGCTAACTTATTATTTCTAAATCTTTTTCTTTTCCTTTATGAAATTTTGTATGTAGTCAATCAAGCTATCTGGAGCTGGGCATGGTAGGGTATGCCTGTAATCCCAGAACTCAGGAGGCTGAGGCAGGAGGATCGTTGCAAGTTTGAGACCAGCCTGCGCTAAAGAGTGAGCTCAAGGACAGTCTGAACTGTATAGAAGAACCTGTCTCAAAAAGACAAAAAAAAAAAAAAAAATCAAGCTATCTGCAAATAGACTGTTTCATTTTTTCATTAACAATCTTTATACCTTTTATTTCTTATTCTTTGCATATTGCAGTGGCTTAATCTTCCAGCAGTATAGTTAATAAGAGTGATGAAAGTGGTTATCTTTGTTCTTGATCTTATAGTGGAAAATTTTCAATCTCTCACCACTAAATATGATATTAGCTGCACATGCTGGCAGATAATCTTTGTCTAATGGCGGAAGGTCTCCTCTTTTTTCCAGTTTGCTGAAAGCTTGGTCCATGAGTTTGCATTGGATTTTACTAAAGGCTTTTGTTTCGGTATGAACTGATATGCATTTTTTTTCCTGTTGCTGAAATATACATATATATATATATATTTTTTCCCAGCACTAAGTCAGCCTTAAACACCTACAATAAATCCTACTTCATCATTTTGCATAATTCTTTTAATAATACATGCTGGATTAGATTTACTATTTTGTTGAGGATTTTTGCATTGAATATCAGGGGTGATGTCGGTTTTTAAATTTTTCATTCTATTTTATTTTTGTATTTTCTTTGTGTGATTTGGTAGAGGGTAATGACACCAACTTCATAAAATTAGTTGGGATAGTCTTTCTTCTTTTATTTCCTGGAAAAGATTATGCTAATTTACTGTTAGTTCTTTAAATGCTTGTTAGAGTCCTGCAGTGAAATCATATTGGCATAGCGAGTTGTTTAGAGACCTTAGAATGACAGATTCAGTTCCTCTAGTAGCTATACAACTACTCAGGTTCTCAATTTCATCTTGGTTGTATTTTGGTAATTAATGGCTTTTGAGGAGTTGGTACCTTTTGTCTTAAGTAGTTGAATTTATGGTCATAAAATTGCTCATAGTACTTCCTCACTACCCATTTAAAGGAAACACTAATAATCTTGTTTAATTTTTTGATACTGGTAGTTTTTTTAATCTTTATTTTCATCAGGTTTTTAAAAATCAAAGCATTTTATTGTCTTTTTAAAAAAATAAGCTTCTTGTTTCACTCATCTTCTATATGATTTTCCTTTCCCCAAATCTATTGATCTCTGCTTATCTTTACTCATTTCTCTGCTTCCCTTCGGCTTACTTTGCATTAATTTTGTTTCAAAAGGTAAGAACTTAGATAAATGAGATCTTTCTTTTCTAGCATGACCATTTACTGCTATAATTTTTTTGTCTCAGTACTACTTTATTTGAATATAATTTGGTATGCTATAGTTGTATTTTCCTTCTATGTACATCTTAAAAAGTTTCCTTTAAGCCTTCCTCTTTGTCCTGTGGGTTATTTAAAGGTGTCTGGTTTACTTCTAGAATTTCTGGAGATCTTCATGTTGTCTTCCTGTTATTGACATCCAGTTTGACTCCTTTAAAGTCAGAGTGATTTCAGGTATCTTAGATTCTTTGAGGTTTATTTGCTGACCCAGGATACGGCTTGTCTTTTAGGATGTTACCTTGATTTACCCACAGTGTTTCTGAATACATTTCTTTGCATGTTTTCTTTGTGGTCTTTATGGGCTCTGCAGTATTTATATGTCAAAGTTTACTGGTATTGATGTTTCATCACTGCATTATGGGTAGAAACCTTACTTCCATTAATTATCTTTATGTTAACACTTAAAAATATAATTCTATCGCTTCTTGACCTTTTGGCTAAGATCAAGTGTAGTAAAACATAATCCTATTTATTCTATGAATAATTTTTATTTTGATAAAATATACGTAACACAAAATGTATCTTAACAATGGTTAAACAAATAGTTCTGTGGTATTAAATACATTCATTATGTGCAGCAATCACCCGCACCATCTCCAGAATTTATTTTACCTGCAGAACTGGAGATCTATGCCCACTAAACAGTATCTTCCCAATTTCCCCTCTCCCATTACTTGGAAACCACTATGTTTTCTGTCTGTATCACTGCTGAACTCTATTTATAAAAGTGGAATTAGATGCCATTTGTCTTTTTGTGACTGACTCATTAAACTTAGTGTACTGTCCTCAGTGTTCACTCATGTTGTAGCGTGTGTCAAAACTTCCGTCCCTTTTCAGGTGAGATAGCACCCTGTTATATGGATAGAACATACTTTGCTTATCCACTCATCAGCTGCTAGCGACTTAAGTTGCTTCTGTTTTAGTTACTGAGAATAAAGTGCTTAGACGTACAAACATCCATGTGAGACCCTGCTTTCAATGTACCCAGGAGTAACACTGATGGATCACATAGTAATTCTAGTTTTAATTTTGTAAGGGACCTCTGTACTATTTTCCACAGTGACAGTACCATTTCCTAATTCCATCAGTATCCAATAGGGTTCTGATTTCTCCACATCTTCACCAACATTGGATATGTTTGTTTTTTTTTTTTTTAACAGCAGCTATCCCAACAGGTGTGACAATTTTATTTACTCTTAGTTCTTTGAATTAGTAAATGAAGGAGGAACACTGACACATGGACAAATTTCATGTTAAAAACAGGTAATTCTGGTATTTTAGCATAAGAAAGATTCATTTATTTTATTCTGAAATTGTTACTTTACCATTAAAAAGTATAGTGTTTTTTTTTTTTTAAATTGGTAGGATACTAGAAAATGTTAAGTGAAGTTTTAATTTTAGGAGTCTTTTAAATTTACAGAAACATTACGTAGTACAGGTAGTTTTGGTATGGCCCACATCCTGTTCCTGATAATACCAACATCCAATATTAATGATACATTTGTCACAATTAATAAACCAATACCAATGCATTCATATTAATTTTTGCTGTTTTCTGAGAGAGTCCCACTTTGTAGCCCAGGCTGGCCTTGAACTCATGGAGATCCTCCTACCTCAACCTCTCAGGTGCTGGGATTTACAGACATGTGCCACCAAACAAGGCCACATTTGTATTAATTAAGGGCAACATTTTATTCACATCATCTTCATTTTTCCCTAATGTCTGCTTTTTGTTCTATGGTTTCACTTTAATAAGGGCAGAGGGTTAACGGTGCTCCCTGAAAATTCCTGCCCACCAGGATGTCCAGAACACAGTCTGTTGGGGACCACAAATTCACAATGGCTCATTCTGCACACTTCCCGAAGGGATAAATGGAGGCTTGGGATTATGGTATTACCTGTTTGAGATTTCCCATTGACCTTTTAGGTATGGGCCATCCTCTCCCACCCACGAAGACTAAACTAAGACCACTGAGATTAAAACCACTTGGCGGGGGGAGGGGGGGGAACCACGCCAGGGCAAGCTCCTCCTTAGCATGGGAGCATCTCCATCCTCTCGAGTCATCCCAGGATTATCCGTTGCCACTGAGTCATCGACCTCGAATCTTCTGCTGACCTTGAATCTTCTGCCAGCCCCTGCTATCCTCGGACACACCCAGTGGATAGTGGCTGGCTCGGGGTGTCTGTCTCTGCCTGTCCTGAGGCACTGACCTCCCAGTCCCACTTCATGCATTACTAAATTTGTCTCTCTCTTATTTCTTCTTTTCACTGTACCCCTCACACAAGCAGTTGGGGATCTTGGCCAGGTCCCCCATAACAGTCTTATTTGGAAATTGGGTATTTGAAGATGTAATGAGTTAAAGATTGTAACATGGCACGTCCTGGTTCAGGCGGTCAGATTTCTCAACTGTAAAATTATTTTTCCCTTTTTATGTACTGTATTCCTTGAAGAAAGTCATTATACCGACCATTCGAGGGGGGGACCCCCAACACTATTTAAAGGTATAATTAAGTTCATTTTCCACATCCACTGAGCACCATGTCACAGGCTTGTTTGCTTCTATCAAAGGTAGTTTAAGAAATGCGTGAGAAGTGGCATATCTTACTCTGTCTGACTGTATTTGTATTCGTTCTCATGTTCCAAGCCTTGTTTCACCTCCTTTCCTTTTGGCGGGGGGCAGGTATGGTACTGGGAATCAAACTCAGGCCCTCGTGCTTGCCAGGCAGGCACTTATGCCCCTGAGCTAAATTCCCGGCCTCACCTTCTTTCTCTTTAGAGAACTTCAGCAACAAAGTCTTAGTTTTCCTTCACCCAAGCAAGTCTTTATTTCTTGAAGAACAGTTATGCTGAACACAGAATTCATGGTTGATGGTTCTTTTCTTTCAGCCCTCGAAAAATGTTACCACCGCTCTCTTCTGGTCTCTGGGATTCCAGATGAGAAGCTCGCGGTGTCTTCCTGTAAGAAACGCACCCATTCTCCCCGGCTCCTTTCAAGGTGTCGGCTTTGCCTTTCATTTTCACAGGTTTAATTCTGCTCTTGGCCTGGACTTCCGCGGTCACCTGTTTGGGAACTTCGTGAACATGGAGATGTATGTCTGTCACTAAACTGAAGAAGCTTCCAGGCATCATTTGCTCAAATCCCTTTTCAGTCTTACTCTGCGTCCTCACCCCTGGGGGCCTGTGGATGGGAATGTAACTCTCATCACAGCCCTGCAGCCCTGATGCTGTGCTCGTGTCCTTTCTCCAGATACTTTTCTCTGTTGTTCAAAACAAACATACTTTCTTGATGCCCCTACTCTAATGCCTTCCTGTTGGCTTCACTATACTACCGAGCCCATTCAGCAAGTTTAAAAAAAAATTTCAGTTATTGCATTTTTCCATTCTATAATTTCCACATGGTTCTCTTTTATAACATCTATGTCTTTGCTGAGAATTTTTTTTTAATCCATGGCCTTTATGCTTTTTAAAAACTCCAGTCCTTTTTCAGTTTGAAACAATCTTGTTAAGTTTCCCAGGCCGTGCTAGGGCTTTTAGTCCTCCTGCCTCAGCCTCCCAGAGTGTATTACAGGTGTGCAACACTACACCTGATTACATTTTCTATTTTCTCATTTGTTTCAAGAGAATTCCTAATGGTGTGCTGAAGTGTTAAATGATGGCAGTGGATGTGAAAGGCTTGCCAGGCAATGATGCATGATTTATTAATATTAGTGTGTGTTGATTATCTTTTCTTCTGCATGTTGTGATTTGTTTGGAATGAATCAATGGTATTGTACTGTGGACATTCTGGATATGACATCGTGAGACTCCAGATCTTATTTAGTCATCATTTTTCCTGTAGCACGAAGCGAGGTGGACAAGTGTGTTCGGCTGCTTGCTGCGCCCCAGCTGGCACTGCCTCGATGCTTGCAGTTGGGGGCACGAGATTCACTGCCTGCCAGGCTCTGCAGAACTACGCTGAGAGGAGACAGAGGCTAAGTCACACTCTCGGGTGCTGCGGCAGAGGCTGGAGCTCAGCTTCTTGCTGAGCCCTCGCTGGGCCCAAGACCCCGACAGGGAGGAAGGCAAGCACAGTGCCAGCTTTTCCTGCTTCTTGCCACCTCCTCCAAAAGGGCTGGTGTGGAGACTCCGCTTCCCGAGACCTGGCCGGTGTCAGTGGGGCCCTGGGAACAGGACGCTGACTGGCTGTGATTCAACCTGCCCAGCTCCACTTCCAGGATGGGGTGAGGATGGAAGCCCAGCTCCCCACAGGCCCTTCCCGACACGGAGGGAGGGAGCAGAGCCTTGGGCAGGTCACAACATAGAGTATATTTAAGTAAAATAAAATCACAGTAAAAGACATTGTCACTAACTCTCAACATCCTCCCCCTCACTTTGAACACACTGCTCTTATCCTCCTTGCCACTTTCTGGAGCAGTTCTGGAGTTCTCTTTTGAAAGAATGTGGCTACTGAGTGCCATCCAGACGAAAGGTAGGCTCAGAGAAACATAAGGTGTGTCTTCATCCACCTTAGTCACTGGATCTGGAACTGTGTGACTTCCGGCTCTTCCCAAAGTCAAAATGACCATGAAAAGGAAACACTATGAATCGATTCAGGACATCAAGACAGCTATGACAGCACAGCTAAAGACCCTCAGGAAAGAGGGCTTCCAGAACTGCTTCAGAAAGTGGCAAGAATGATGGGATGAGTGTGTTCAAAGTGAGGGGAGTCGTTTTGAGAGGGATAAATCACAGTGCATCTTTACTGCAATACATTTTTAAAAATTTAGTCTCTGTATTTTAGGGTCACCTCTTATCACCTGCCTGTATACCTCACTACTTGGCCTTTTCTAGGGTGGTGCCTACTGCGGGGAGATGAGGCTCAGTGTGCTGGGGATGCCACCAGGACTGGGACGCAGACCCTCTCCTGGTTCTGTTGGGTGTCCCCGTCACATCACAGCGCCACGTCACAGGGGTGTGTCTCTTCTCCCAGTGCCTGCTTGGAAGCGGCAGGTTCTCTGTGGCCAGGCCAGCCCTTTCTGGGGCACAGGCTTACGTTGGAGCCTCTTTTCATGTGTGCCCGATGTGAAGCACAGGAGGCAGCAAGGAAGCTTCCGGAACCCACTGTGGTGCTGCTCCAGCGGCTTCTTTCCAGCCTCCAGAGCGCTCCTCTGCTTGTGCTGGGTTAGGCCCAAGAGTCAGAACCTGGTGTGACCAGGGCTCGTCCCCACTTCTGTGACTTAAACCAAGGTACAATGAGTTGACAGCCAGAAAACAAGCTTTGTCAAAACAGGCAAATGTTTAAACTGAGATAGCCAGCATTTTAATCAGAGGAAGGGCTCCTTTTCAGTTTCTTTGGAAGAAGCTGCTTCAAAGGATGAGTAAGTGGTCAATGGTTCTAATTTATTTTTATTGGAAACATTTGCTTTCTACAGAAGGTCTACTTGGGATTACATTTACTTTGGTAACATATGAAACTAGGCTACACTGGACACCCAGGCCCCCGGAATGGTTTTTCCCAGCCCTGCCTCACTATACCTCTTTGCAGTATTTTATGTATCTGGCCAGTAGCAGAGAGGAGTAAATGCTCAGGTTCAGGGGTCCTGTCAACTCTAGCTAATCTTCTTTTCCTTTTAAATGTAAATATATTTACATGCATCTGCATATATTTGCATACACAGAGCACATAAATCTCAAGTATAGGACCCCATGCATTACTAAAGTGTACACCCTCTGCGGTTGATTCCCATATCTAAAGAACTTCTTTCACTAACCTGAAACACCATTCTGACCTCTAATATTTCACGTTGTGAATTACATTCACCGATAGCACCTTGTTGCAGACCCATAGTACAATGGCACAGTCAAGATACTGACATTGGTCAGATCCACCAATCTTACTCCAGTTTCTCAACTTTCCTAGTTTTACTTGTACTCACTGGTGTGTGCATCGAGTTCAACATGATCTTACAGAGGGAGTTCTACAGAGGGCTACAGCATGATCCCCAGCCACGCACATCCCGTATCTTGCCCTCTTATAACTAAGCCCTGCACTCCTGCAATCATTCCCCCTCCACCTCTGGCAACCATACATGAGTATTGTATAAATGGAATCATACAGTACACATACTTTAGTAATGGTCTCTTTTTGCTCAACAAGGTTACTGCTTTTAACATGACTGGAATGCTTTTTAGGGATATCCATGAGTTTTACTACAGACCATCAAACTCTACCTGCTTTTCAACTGATAGATATAAATGAGCATTTCTCAACACTTAAAGTCCCTAGCGCAAATGTTTATTCTTGAGTAAGCATTTCTAGATAAAAAGCATTGTGATCTTTGCTTTTTATGGTCACTTACAGCAGCTGTGCAAAAAGAACTGTATCATTCTGATCCTAAGGATTACTGACAGCATATTTTAAGGAAATTACAGCTACAGTGCTCACAGAGGAGCCCAGACTAGTGATGTTCCTGAGAATCTATTAAGATAACTACAAAACTAACTTTGTTGTATTTTTCAATCTAAAACTCATCAAGTGAAGCTACCGAGATAAAACCTATGAAGAAGCCCATTGGTAGACACTCCTTTAAAGAAGCAGCTTTTGTTATCCACAGCTTTGTTGTCTAACTTTATTGTTAAGTCTTGTCGTCCACTGGTGAGGTTCCCGAAGTAACAGATCTGTCTTTTTCAGAAGGCAGCCTGGCCAGTGCCTGGGAAGTTACTCGTCTGATGAAAGTCCACCTCCTTAGGCGGCCACCTTCCCTCGCGCGTACTCACCTGTTCTCAAACTGGAACTTGGCCAGTATGTCTTTGGCTCTGGTGTGACTGTTCAGTTGAATGGCCATGGACACCTTGGAGAAAAGCGGAGCGTGGACCCTTATGACTCCTTCTGGCACATCAGACTGCCGACGGGAGAAGAATCAGGACACGTGGTCAAGCTAGAGTGACAGCCGCTCGGCGAGCGCACGAGAGCAGTGTGACGTCAGCGGCACAGAGCTAGGACAGTGTCCACAGCACCAGCATCTACCCACCTTGGCACGCTGCCTCCCTCTTTACTAGGAGACTGACCAGTGGCTAAAGTTAACCTGGGGGTTTTACTTTCACTATACATTGAAGCTTTAAAATGCCTTAAAATCATGAGAGGTATACAACTGGGCTCTCATAAAAATCCAATGCTTCCATCAATGTCTTTATTAAACAGTGCCATGAATAAACCCGCTTTAATCAAAATTTTAAGTAAATTTTAAGAACACCTTTTGAAAACTTTAGGGATGAGGTAGAAATGCAGCTGCTTGAACACTGCTCTTCTTCAGGGGCAGCCAGGTGTGGCCAGCCCCAGGGGACTCTGTGTGGGTGCCGAGCTCACCACGCAGGGCATGAATTTCTATTGCCTTTAGCCACCCTGTTTGTGGTACCTTTTTATGGCAGTGCTAGGAGATTAAGCCAAACTATGTTTAACCAGGTATTTCTCTAATATTCCCAGCAGGAGTGAAGGGAGTGTGCCAGGGAATGGCTGTTGAGGGATTTGAATGTGGGTGGGGGAAGAGTCCCTGGCTTATACAGCCCAGACTGTACCCCTAGAATATTCCTTAAGCCTCTCCTGGCCTCTTCCTCAGAGCTCCCCAGACACCTCGGTAAGATGAATCCTATGTTTACGTTTTTGGGGCTACAAGGATGACAATCCCACCTCCCTGCTCCTGAAGGTGGTTGTCACACCTGTCTGCAGGATGCCTGACCACACACTTGGAATTGTTAGTGAAGCCCTGTAAGAGTGCCTTGTGGTCCACACTTAGGGCTGCAAGGGCCGATGGTGACCCATGCTATGGCTCAGTTAACTCTGAATGTGTTAACTGTTAGTTAAGGCCTTAACTGCTAGTTAACTGTTAGTTAACTAGCCTTAACTGCTAGTTAACTGTTAGTTAACTAGCCTTAACTGCTAGTTAACTGAATGTGTTAACTGTTAGTTTAGTTAAGGCCTGCCTCACTATGTGGGAAGTTACTACCCAGCGGCAAAGGGAGTCGTTCACTTACCATTCTTCTCGCGGAAGGTGATTTTTGTAGTACCTTTGAGGCCTTGGGGCTGGTAGCCTAAAGAAAACACGTGTTGTCTTTAGGATGCATGTTGGGAAAGCAAAGCTAATCTCGTAAGTCTTCATGGAAAACATTTTGGCAGTATTCATAAACTACAAAATGCATGTATGCACATTGACTCCACAGTCCCATATCTATAAGCTCATCCTACAAATGTACTTCATCTGTGAAAAATGATGCATATAATTGTTTATTCTCTGCAGCAAAAATTGTAAAAGCAGAAGAGGAGATGCCATCTAACTGTTCGGCAACCTGGAGCTGATTAAACAAACTGCTGTGTGTCTATGGAAATGATGTGAAAGTGCAAAGAGGACGCTTTGTGAACTGATATGGAGTCACTGCCACGATTGCTTCAGTCAGTAAAGCAAGATATAGGGCAGTATTTCCTGTGTAAAACAGGGAAGGACACGTGCAATGGTTCCTAGGAATACACAGCAGACATGTCAAAGCTGCCACAGGTGCCAAAACCCACAGAGGCTCAATTCTCTCACACAAGATGACACCATACTTGCATATGACATGCACATCCTCTGGAATACTTTACATCATTTCTAGATTACTTATGAAACTTATTACACTGTAAGTGCTACATAAATATTACAGTGTATATTTTAGGAAATAGTAACAAGAAAGAATGTTTGTACATGTTCAGTACTGATGTAATCTTTTTTTTCTTTTTCTTTTGGTATATATTTTCAATCCATAGTGTGGACTGTTGATACAGAGGTTGACTGTATTCCTATTTCCTATTCCTATTTCCTTCTGTGTATAGAGCACCTCTGGAGGGACTCATACCTGTATGTCCCGTGTCACATAACCTGTTGTTGAAGAGGGGAAATCAGGGCTATTTTTTATCCTATAGTCTTTCCAGGTTTTAAAATTTGTAACTTCTTACTGAATGATCTTTTCCAAGAAAAATGAAGAATTAAAAAACAGCATAAGATACAACTAAAGGAAGAACATTATTTTGTGTTTGCTCCCTATGGTGTTCATAACCTGTAAGTGGAATCATTGGTTCCACTTACAATCAAAACATTAAAAAGGCTGACATTCATGCCTGTTACCCATTATGTGAGTCCATCCTAGTGACGGCTTGGTAACAAAAGTATCACGGCTTTTCTTCCAATTTGTAAGAGAACACTGAGGCTCAAAGAATGAACTGAGTTTGTATGGCTCACAGGACTGGCAATTGACAACCCGATCTTTCTTGGTCTTCACACATACTGCACTTGTGTCATTAAAACTTCCCAGAATGGGAGAGGCACGAAGATGGTGGAGTGGTAAGCAGCAGAGAAAGAGCCTCTCTGAGAGTTGCTGTCCAGACGCTGGAATATACCAATGTGAGGAAGACAAGAAGGCGGGAAGTTGGGTCCCTGGGACCCAGGAGGGATCTGAAGCACAAACTGAAGCCCACAGAGAGAGTGAAGAGAGAAACTTCAACAAAGAAGAAGGAGGTAACTGGTGGCACCTTCTCCCTGAGATGGGACTCACTGCACGGGAGGAGCGATGCAAACCTGAGGACACACAGTGACTGCTGGCAACCCAGAGGCCTCCAGGGAGAGATGCAGCAGTGCAGGGAGCAGTGCATGTGAAAGACTGCACCAGCTGGTGGTAAGTGCTGAGGGCTCAGTCGTCCCACACAAGGGAGCCACTGGCTGGAAGCCAACTTGGAGAGGGGCTGACTGAGCTCAGAACGCAGAGCGGCAGCTGACTCCATCTTGTGGTTCCCAGCTGGGCACAGGACCATGGAAGGCGCACTGACAGATGCAGACCAAATGAGTCTGGTCTCAGCCACAAGGTACAGGATTGCAGATTATCCACTACCCCTCCCAAAAGCTACTACTGGCTTGCTGGGATAAATCAATACCTCTCTGGACTGTCTCTACACATTGTCTACCAGTGACAGCAGAGACAAACCTGGAAGTGGACTTCTTTTTCCTTTCTTGCTCTCTCTCTCTCTCATTTGTTTTTCATTGTGGTTTTGTTGTTATTTTTTTCTTTATTATTTGTTCTTGTTCTTATATAAGCATGAACATGGTTTCTAGTCTCTCTGTGTTTGTTGTTCTGTTCTCATTTTTATCTCTTCTTTCTCACTTTTCTTCCAGTCGTCTGCATTACCTTCCCAACATTAGTGTGATCACCCTTTGTCCAATAGCCTTACTTCTAATCTCTTCCTCTTCTACTTCTCTGTTTTATCCCTAATCCCTTTTAAGTTTTAACTACTAAGGGTAAAATTGACATATTAAGGACTTATATATTGCATATAATTTTCTGGTTTACTTTAGATTTTATTATATAACCACAAATCTAGTTCATATGGTTAAAAGTGGCAAATTAATAGTTACCTCAATTTGTCCTAGGCTGTTTACCGAGGCTGTATTTGATGCTATTGTTATTGCAGAGGGTACCACAGTACCTAAAAGTGACATAACTGGTCTAAACAGCTATTCTTCCTAGTATTTTAAGACTGAGATTGACTAAGTGTCATCAAAAATACTGTGGCACAGTGCCAAAGAACCAGGGGCTGAGCCAAGCAGGCAACAACTTCTCATTCTCAACAAATTGAAGAGGTAGGATCTTGCAACAGACTAGCAACCCCAAAACCACAGTACCTGGAAGATACCTCAGAGAAGTAGTCATCTACCAAGCATTCTAAATATGAGAAATAAAGCAACCACCATAGGCAATTTATAAGCATCATCCCTGGAATAAAACTAAGAAGAAAGAAAGAAAGAAAGAAAGAAAGAAAGAAAGAAAGAAAGAAAGACAGACAGACAGACAAAATGAGAAGACACTTACACAAAACTCAAGCCCACACATCCTGTTCACCAAAGGCAAACCCAGGGAGCAATAAAGTGGGACAATCTGAAAGCCACACACCTGACCTCTCTGAAGTGGTAACAAGAAAGCAATTGAATGAGACTCTAGAAAAAGTCAAATCAGAAATAGTTTCTCAGATAACTGCAGAGATGGTGTCCACAATAAAACCATGCTTAGTAACTTTGGAGCAGATACCGATAAAAAATAGAGGAGCTTTAGAAAATTATAGACACCATGAATGTTCAGCATAAGAAAGAAATGGAATCCATAAGGCAGATTCAAGCAGATATCGAGGAGAATAAAAATTCCAGCAGGATAAGTCAATGTGAGGACAGGATATCAGATATAAAAGACAGGCTTGTGGTTAGCAAACATGAAAAGCAAGATTTCTTAAAAATACCAAAGGACCATGAGAAGTCAATATAGCAGCTGCTAGATGAGGCAAAGAAGAATAACTTAAGATTGAGGTGAAAAAGCAGGAGATAGCACAAATGATATAAAAAAACTATTCACAGATGTCATGGCAGAAAACTTCCTTGGTGGGGAAAATAATTTGACATACACCTATGTGAGGCATACAGAACTCCAATTAGCCACAATCACAAAAAACCTACAGCCAGGCATACCATAGTCAAGATTCCAGAAATTCAATACCACAGTAGAATTTTAAAGCTGTTAGGGAAAAGAAACAAATCACCTATAAAGCAAAGCCCATCAGAATCACAGTTGACTTCTCAGCACAAACCCTCAAGTCAAGGAAAGCTTGGAGTGAAGTATTTCAAGCTCTAAATGAAAACAACTTTCAACCCACACTAATGTACCCTGCAAAACTATCTTTCAAAACTGACGGAGAAATAATGTACTTACATGACAAAGAACATCTGAAGAAATTCACGACCACTAAACCAGCACTCCAAAATATTTTGAAGGACATTCTACAAAGAGATAGCAAGGACTATAGCTCCATGAACCACAACAGAAAGAACCCACCAGGCAAGGCAAACCATTAAACAGAGGGAGGGCAAAAAAGAGGGGGAGCCAACAACAGGAAAATAACATGACAAGGATAAGTCAGTACATATCAGTTATAACATCAGTGTTAATGGTCTCAATTCACTAATCAAAAGACACAGACTGGCAGGATGGATGAAGAAATATCCAAATATGCTGCATACAAGAAACACATTTAATTCAAAAAGAAATTCATAGACTGAAAATCAAAGGATGGAAAATAATACTCCATGTCACAGGAACCCAGAAAAAAGCAGGGGTAGCTATTCTATTTTCAGACAAAGTGAATTTCAAGCCAAGACTGATTAAGAGAGACAAAGAAGGTGACTACATCATTGTAAAGAGAATAATCCAAGAGGAAAAGATAACAATCATAAATATATATATATATGCAACAAGTTCCAGTACACCCAACTATATAAGACACATATTAACGGACATGAACAATCAAATAAGCACTAATACAATTGTATTGGGGGATTTCAATACCCATTGTCACAAAAGACAGATCAGTTAGACAAAAAAGCAACAATGAAATATTAGAACGCAGTGTATTACCTTTTGTTACCCTCCTATTACCTTGTTTTGAAATTTTATTTTTTTATCTCTAAAATTAAAGAAAAAACTTTCCAGAATGGACACGGTGGAGTGGGAAGAAAGCAAAAGTCAGTCTCTCCACAAAAGCAGTGGTAAAGACCAGCAGCATCGCCCTCTTCAGGAAAGGTGGCCGGGAGGGAGCCAGGCCGGGAGAGGCTGGGCGAGCGGCGAGCTTTGCCTGCGTTTCCCTCGGCTCCTGGCACCCTGCTGCCAGCTGTGTTGGGCAGGTGCGGGAGAAGCGGAAGTGGCTCACTTACAACGGATGCTGGGGTTCCCTGCACGAGCTCCCCACTTGGACGTGGCCGGCGCTCCGCGTGTGCGGTGGAAACACTCACAGGCAAGGGCTGCGGTCCCCGGTGCCTGCCAGGTGGGTCGGCGTGGTGAGTTGGGAGACAAGGCTGGAGGCCGAGGGGCACTGAGTGGTGAGTGCTTCTAAAGCTTGTGCCAGGGTTGTCAGAATCCAGAGGGCCGCAGCACGGCCAGGGTTGAGCACAGAACAGACTTGAGAGAGTGAGAACTCTCCCTTGCACCTGATTTCCAGCCTCTGGTGAGCAGGAGGCACGGAGCCCTCGGCAGGCAGGCCCAGCACACACCCAGAGCTCGTCGCCAAGGATGGGAGACGTCTTGGCTCCAGGCACTGAAGAGCGCGGCTGTGCGGTCACCAGCTAGCCATTAAGGGAATAGAGCAGACCTCAGCAGTCACACGGAAGAATACAGACTCTACAGACTCAGGCCAGCCCAAAGCCACTAAACAGAGGCACAGTATGAACTGTGAGACTCTCCGAGGAAGGGAGGACTCTGATTCCCAAAGGTCCACTTGTCATGAAGTTATGTGTCCAAAAAAGTAAGAAACATAAATAACCCAGACAACATGAAACTACCAAAGGGCAGTTTGGATAGTGTCCCTACGAAGTCCAGATGGAGGATGTGCTATAAAAACCCTTCCAGGGAGTCATCCGCACTGTGTACAGGCTTAAAACCACGGGGCTGTGCGTTTCAATGGCTCGCAAAGGTGAGTTTTATATTATGTAAGATTTTCCTAAATTAAAACAACTTTTCCCCCCGAATGTCAGTGTTGGTTCTCCTGGATGTGAAGTCACTTTTCTGTGACGAATACAGGATGGGGTCCGTGATCATGGACTTCTCATGAGCATGACAAGTCAGTTACCTGACTCTCCTCCCTGCCACGGTGCTTACCGTCCCCTCACTGGATGAACGTCCCCTCCTGTCTCCCTCCCTATAAAACTGTGTAGCTCAAATGAGACTTCCTCCAAGCAGTCACCCACAGTTCCCCATGCCAGGGCAGACATCTGCATCCTCCGGGGTGGAGCCGTATCTGCACAGCTGGTCTATGCCCACCCAGCCTGCCGGCGTTGCGACCCTGAGCGACCTCTGTCTCCCAAGTCAGCTGTAAGCTCTCCTAAAGGCGACGTGCGCTTGGAGGGTCTGCCCCATCCTCAAGGCTGGGCGCAACCAGCGCTCGGTACTCATGAGTGTTAAAGCACTAAAGATGGTTCTTCTAAAGCCTGCTTTCTCTGTCCGCCTGCACACAAACGCCTGTGCCGAAGCAAACGTTCTTGGGAGTGTAGTGAATTTACACAGAACACTGTGAGGATTACTACCTTCTATCACAAGTGAGTAAAGAATTCTCCCTCCCTGTGTATTTGATACACCTAGAGCTAGATTGCCCTGAAGTCTAGTTCACAAGAATGAAAATGTTGGCTTTCAGCCTTTGTGGCAACGCTTTCAGCTGTTCCACTGAGTCCTCTACAGAGCCCTAAACAATCTCCATGAGATAATGATACTAAGAACTTTAACCAAGAAGCACATAGTTCAGCAACATGAAAAAAACACTGTCATGGACACACTTTTCGCAGTGTGTGAAAGGACACACAGGGTGGGATACTTGGCTCTAAACTGCAAGCTAAGCTGCTGGCGCCTGCCTTGGAGGCAGGCAGACGGGCAGGCAGCCCCTCCGCGCTCACCTCCCGCTCCATGGTCTTCCTCCTGAGCAGCTTCTTCACACTCGGGAGCTGCTTCTTCAACAACATCGTGGCCTCATTCATCCTGCGGACTTGGGTGATTAGGAAAGATGGAACCTGGGGAAGAAAAACAGCTGCACTGGAGGGAAAACGCTTGACTAAGACCTCCTCGGGAGGCTGTGTCTGCCAGTGTGCTCACTTCTCCTGGCCACGCAGCACCAGGGGCATTTACCCTTGTAAAGGTTAGAAAACTGAGGGAACTTCTGTTTAATGGGGAAAGCATGTTAACGAGATCTCTTAGAGAATGTCCAGCCACGTCATGGTACCCAAGTGGGACTGGCTTCCAAGATGCCCAAGTCTCTTAGAAAATAAAATGGCGGAGCGCTGGACACAACCCACACAGGTCCTCCCATTCGGAGTCACCTCTGGGTGACTCACAATTCCCACCCGTGTGAATGCTGTGCAAGGAGGAGACTATATTGTTTAGGCAGTAACAGCAAGAGCAGGAGGTTTGTACATTTCAGTTCAGATGAGATAGTGCTGAGGACCATTTTCCACCTGTGGTTGGCAACGCTGGAGAGGAAACTGCCGAGGTGAGGCCTCTGTGGGAGGAGGTCACAAGCCACCAGGGCCTGGTTGGGCCTCGGCGGGTCTCCTCACTCCTAGGGGAACCTCTTGATGGTGGTGTCTTTGCATTTCCTGGAGCTGGTGGACTTCAGAGGGTGCCCTGACAGTCACCACACCACCACTCACCTTCCACAAGATTTTCTGGTACTTCAGCATGAGGCGGAGGATGTGGGCTGCGGTGTTGGCTAACAGCAGCTCCTCGCAGTCGGAGTGCTTGCCCCTGCTGAAGAAGAGGTTGGGCGCCATCACGGTGGAGATGTTCCACACACTCATGCGGTTTTTGGATTCATTGGCAATCACTTTATTGAAGAACGTCATGAGGGCCTGACAGGAAAAGAGCGTGGGGTCACACTGCTGTACGCGGCCAGAGGCTCCGACACTGCCTCGGTTCGTCTCTGTCCCCGCTCCCAGCCTGCTGGAAGCTGTGGGACGCAGAGAGATCCCCCTCTAATTGCTTAAAAAGCACTAGGAAGAAAGGCGCGCAGTTTCGACCGTCTGCATCACAGAATAACTCTGTTTTGATGGAGTATATTATATCGCAGTTGCTATAAACAATAGTTTACGTTTTCTTATTTCCTTTTATCCTAAGCAAGTTTGACAAATATTAAAATTAAACATAAGCGAGAGAGAGAAAACACTGCTGCTGAAATAAACATGAAGTTTTGTTATGAAGAAAGAAATCTTAAAAAACACCTTTAACTCTGCACATTACTGTTGAAAATGATTTACCGTTTCCCTGAGAGAAAGAGCTCACTTAAACAACACGAGTCTCTCATTCTTCAGCCCAAAATATAAAATGCAGTTGGGAAATGTCAAAATTACTTTTGGGTGACATTCTTCTATTTTGTTTTTCAATTTTGAGATTTTCAACTGGTCACAGGCAAATGCTTATGTGAAGCTGTTCTAAACATAAAAAAAAAAAAAATTAAGAAAGCTTAAAAGTTTACCAAGCCACCAGAGTAGAGATATTTATCTGAAGTTTTGGAAATTTATGAGGAGGACAAAAGTCCCAATAGGAGTGCTCTTGGTTTTTCCAGGTTGAATTCCACCACAGAACTCCTGACGGGAAAGTGCGTAGCTCATAGCGGTAACAGCAGTTGCGATTTAAGAGTTTATTATGGGGCACGCGTTAGTCTGAGTGAGGCTCATATCCTCACTCAGCGTCCCCCTCCCAAGCCCTCGGAGATCAGGACCATCACCGTACTACTGTACAAAGAGGAAACCGAGGCAGAGAGACTGGAGCAGCTCTGCCCAGTATTGGCAGAGCCGGGACTGGAACCAAGAAAACAGTTCCTGAGCTGGTGTTCTGGATGTGTACACCACACCTGCTCCAGTCTTAGTCCCAGGTGCAGGCTGGTGTGGAAACAGACATCACGTGCAGGGGTGTGTGTGTGTGTGTGTGTGTGTGTGTGATCTTCACTAGTCCCTGGTGCTTTTTTAAAAGAAATGTATTGAATTATTTGACAATTGCTGCACCCTCTGGTCTATGAAAGAGTAGATGACACTTTGACCCACTGATGTCAGGTGGATTTTTTGAAAATAAAACAACATTGTTTTGATAAAGCCAAGAAGACCAAGCTCATCAGTCTCTAGCTTTTGAAAAATTACCAAATTACATCAGAAACAAATATTTTAAGGCCTTGCTAATCCCACCCTGATGCTGAGGACATAGTGTAAATGGCACATAGAAGTGACGTGAAGATTTCCATTGTGAGGAGGAAGATCCTCACAACACTGAGATGTCTGATAAGGGGTAGCACCATGAATCATTTTGTTCTCAACGTTAAGTTTACTGGTCTCAAAATTATGGGTTACTGTTATGGCTTGTGTCTAGATGTCCCCCAAAGCCTCATGCAGTCACAGGTGCGGCTTTTCAGAAGTGGCTGGACCTCGGGTGTGTGATGCTGTGAGTGAGTGTGTGATGACTACATTAGCGCACTGACTGGTCTGGCATAGTTCCGGGAGTGGACAATGGGGAGGCTCACCCTGGGTGTGAGTGCTACCGCCCTGACAGCATGTACCCCACAGAATATACAAAGAGGGCTGCTGCTGGTGCTTGCCGCTTGCTGCTTCAGTGCTTTGCTGCCTTCTGCCCACCATGGACTATTTCTCCTCTGTGATGTCCCTCTGCCGTGCCACCCTGCCTTGGAGCCAGCCAGCTTTGCCCGAAGCCTCTACAAACTGTGAACTAAACACACCTTCCCTCCTTTAACTTTGAGTGTAGGGTATTTTGTCTCAGCGATGAGAAAAATAACTAAGACAGTTATTTCCAGCCCATCCTCATCTCAGTTTCATTTCACAGATTCCAAATACTTGTTGTACTTAAATTTCCTACTTTACATAGACTCATTGTTGAAACGGCAAGGGAAACTTAGCCAACATGCGGCACAGAAACGAATTTGAAACGAAAAGGGAGACTTTTGGGAGGAAGAACTGCGGAACCTGATTCTATCAGATATTTTACACTAACTGTCAAATCACGTCTCGGAGCTCCTTTTCCTAATGGTAAAATGACCAGATTTTACCAGGTAATGACCAAGGTTAAATTGTATTATCTTTATACAACATGAAAAATTTTAAAAACTCAAAAATTGTACGAATTTCACTTACTGCAGCTTCAGAGGCACTACAGCGAGGCTCCACAACCGCAGCTTCTCATACTTTCCAAGTCACAGCACAGCCTCACGGGCTTCTGACACTGCTGCATTGAAGCAGCCCACTTTGTGGGGAGGGACAGTACAAGAGAGAGAACCCGGGCCTTTGGACTGAGCCACATACCAAGCCTTTTTTTTTAATTTTTAAATTTTGTGACAAGGCCTCACTAAGTTGGTTAGTTTCCAAGGTGGGACTTGATCATGTGATTCTCCTGCCTCAGCCTCTCAGAGTGCTGGGATTACAGGTGTGCACCACCACGCCCTGCTTTCTCCTCTTCTCCTATTTCCAAGTGCTGGGCACGTGGCTGGACCCTCAGTATCCCCTGAGTGAGCTGAACGTGGGAAGCGTCAGTGCCCAAAGACCTCCGTCCTTGCCGTCTTGCTCTGTGCAGACCGCCCTGTGAGCTGTCACCACGGCCTCCATCTCCACACACAGCCCACCCCCAGGCAGCAGGCGCCCACTGAGAGGGTGAGAGGACACACCTGGGCTGTGTCCCTGTTGGCATCCGGCAGCGCCATGACCATGAGGTGCAAGGCTTGAAGCTGCACTCTGACGTGGGACCCGCCTGCAAGAAAACAAAGACAGCGCAGGAGTGAAATGACGAGCAGACCGTGTGTGCGCCCGCACGCGAACAGCTGGGGGCACAGCAGGGCTCCTGACAGCCCCGGCCGGTGCAGACTCGGGTTTGGTGCCTGGCACCGTGGCTGTGCCCACTCGGACTGGAGCCCCACTCTGTCAAGTCCCTTCTCACCCGCAGCGCCCCTGTGGAGACAGATGGCGGGGAGCCTCGGGAAAATGCCCTCGCCAAGGCATTCTCACAGACCTTGTTTTGCTTTGGTACCATGAACAGAAGGTTCGCTGCTCCATTCAAGAGGAGATAAACCTTGCTTTCACACACAGAGGCAGCAACGCACAATTATTAGGAACTAGATTCGAATCCTGCATCTCCTACCCGTCACTGGGTGAGCCCGGTCAGGTCCCTGAACCCTGTCGTGTCCATGTTACCCTCTGTGAAGTGGGAGTGGTCTTGTGTCTCCCGCACAGGGCTGAGCTGAGGAGTAAAGGAGTTACCGGGGACAGCGCCCAAATCACGGTCGTGCCTAGGCGTGTGTGCTCCTGCTGTTAGGATCAAGGCTGCCGATTCGGGGTCTTCCTGGGATACTGAGAGGTGGTGGCTGTCCTTTATCTGCGATGACTGTTGAGCGCTTCACTTCTTCGTGACACAAGGTGGCGCCAGAGGGTTGGCAGTTACCCGAGGGGTCCTGCGCTCCCAGGACACGGTCAGCCAGGGTGAGGACGGGGAGGGTGGTCAGAGCGGGGAGGAACACCCAAGTGTCTGCGGCCATGACACACGGAAAAGTGGGAAGAGCCCGTCATGCTGTCCTGGCACCACCCTTGTGGGGATGGTGGACGTTTGTGTCAAATGTGTAAACAAAACCCGGCGCAGGGCCAGATCTCACTGCAGAGGGCAAATGCATGTTGGTGTGAGTCTGCCAGATGAACAGGACCTGTCAGGGGCTGTCTCAGGAGAGGGCACCTCGGGACAGAGAAGACGGTCCTGTAGGCGCGCGCTGCCGGTGCAGCCGCCCTCCATCTCCCGGCGCGATCCCAGCACCCCACGGGGGAGGGGAAGCCCTATAGGTGCAGCCTAGCCTCGGGCTCCCCATTTCTGCCGCTCTTACAGAAAGGGGAAGCTCGCTTTGTAATTAAAATCTAACCTGGCACAGAACCCGTCTTCATTTTACTTAGGGAACCTAGCCTTCCCCAGTTTTGTGGTGAATACTTTTGTAATTAATTTATTCAAGCATCCTGGTAGAAAGCTTGAGTTATCATGAGGCCATTGTTCTCCCAGAGTGATTAGCTTTTCCCGAAAGTAGCTGAGGCTTGATTCATGAACTATTAGCTCATTAATGGTGCAGGCAGTTTGGAAGCCAAGCTTGAAAAAGGAAAGTAATTAACGGAATGGGGAAGGGATTTGGGTATCTGAAGTGCAGCTCCCACACGTCCCTCCGCAGCGCTCCTTTTAGGAATATCTCTGCTTGGCTTCAGGTGACAAAAAGCCTGTTATTTCCTGGGAGCCACAAGCCATATCTCTGGGCTTCCTGCAGGGTCGGCTGGTATCAAATCAGTCACCTGCAATCTAGTATTTTTCACTTAGAAAATCCTACACTGAAGCGGGTTCCTCTGAGGATGCTTCCAGGAGAGCGTCAGACTGTCCCCTTCAGGGAAGTGCGCTGGCCGCACTCGGAGAGGGGACAGAGCGCGGGGAACCCAGAGTCGCCTGTCTTTCTTAAAGTGCTTCTCCGGGCGGCTCTGGCATCGGAGGGTGGGGCCTCCTGGGATGACTCACAACACCAAACCAAACTCCAAATTCCTCGGTGGCACTAGATTGTTTTGATGCATTGTTTAGCCTACAAACCCCAGAGCAAGGTAAAATTCATAATCCGACAGCCTATGTCCCGGGAGGGCAGATATCACGGAAATCCTGTTCTTTCGGGTGTGCGGTGTGTGTGTGTTTTCTGAAAAGTAAGGGATTCTGCTCTTGGAGTAGCTGAGTGAGCTCCTACCAGATCACGGTCTCACAGGCACTAACCCTTTCTGGGCAAAGTCCCCACAACTACCTGGGGCCGTGCAGAGTGCGCAGGCAGATGGGTCCGGGAGAGGCCTGGGCACCCGGGACGGGGCTGGCACAGGGCGGCGCTCTTTTCTCCTGGCCTTCAGTTTGAGATCCCGCCGCGGTCAGGGCTGCCCAGGGTGGCCAAGGCTCAGTAATACGTTACCAAAAAATCCCGGTCCTTATGGCCTGAACCAGAGTTCAAGGAGGCCACAACCACCGGAAAGTCATGGTGCAGTCCCAGAAAGGAGAGACTTCGAGGTGGAAAGCAGTAATCCCAGGAAAAACGCAATCCCGGGAAAAATCCGCAATCCGGGGAATCTCTCGCAGAGCCCCAGTGTGGCCACGAGGGGGCAGCAAAGGATGAACTCAGCTCTGAGACCCGCTGAGCTGCAGGCCGAAGACCACTGGCAACTTGAGTCCAGCCAGGCAGATGACCGGCTTAAAACAGCAACAAATAACAAGCCTCACGTAGAATTTACAATTCCCCGACTCACAAAGCAACAGGAAGGCGGGGTCCATCCTCCAGGACGGAGACCAGCCCGGAGAGGACTCTGGAACTCTCACTACCGACGAGGGTTTTGAAGTCAGTTATCAAACTATCCTCAAGGATGTGAAAAAAACATGCTTAAGGAATAAAAAACAAGGAACGAAAAAGATAGGGCCTTGCAGTAAATAAAAACATTCATACAGCATTAACTGGAAACTCTAGAACTGAAAAAAATATAATAGCTGAAATCAAAATCAAAGAAGGGGTCAAGCTTTTGTGTGTTTGTCAGCAAATTTTTCTCAGAGAATAAAAACATGAGATCTTACAAAGAAAAGAGATACCTGTCCCCGATGGCATGGGAATTAAAGCTCAGACAAAGACTGCTTCCCTATCACAGTCTCTCTCTTTTTATTTTTTGGTCTTTTTAAAACAGGGTTTCACTTCTCAGTTCAGGCTGGGCTTGAGCTCACTTTGTAGCCCAGGCTGGCCTTGAACTTGCAGCGATCCTCCTGCCTCAGTCTCCTGAGTACTGGCATTGCAGGTGTGCGCCACCATGCCCGGCTCACGGTCTCTTATTGAAGGAAAAAAAATTATTTTGTGCATCTGGTTTAGTAAAAACTTTTAAAGATTAGGAGCTACTCATTCTAAGGACAGGTTTGGTCATGCAGCTTGGGATCGACTGTTCTTTTCTTTCATTAGGGTTTTGATGATCTTGCAGCTCTAGTCTACCCGCAGAAGGCTGCAGACTGACTCCACAGATGTCTGCTCACACAGCGCTCAAAAATGTGAAATTAAGGCTGACATTTTAAAATTAAGTCTTTCCTCGCAAGCCTGTACTCCATTCTCTGTCCTGCACGCAACCCTCACCTAGAGCGGTGTGCGGCCAGGGTCACCCTGCCAGGCTGGCCACAGCCCTTTTCTGTCCACGTGGCGTTGCCACCTACTTAACACGCCTGCCCACGCCGGGCTCGGGAGTCCTGACCTAAGCCCCCGCTGTTCTCTACACTTTCTTTTTCTTTTTTTTTTCATACCGGGAATCGAACTCATGACCTCACGCTTGCCAGGCAGGATGCTACATCCCCAGCTCCCTACACTTGTTCTTTTGTCATATCCTGTATACTATTCAGCCTCTGCAGCCAACCTCGTCAGTCAGATCAGTCCCTGTCAAGGGCAGCACAAGCTCCCACATCTGTGCTTTCAAAGATGTCAGCGAAGACCCAAATGGTAGATCTGGTGACTTTTTAGAAAAATGATGCCACGCTGTGATTCTGAGACAAAACGTGCAGCGTGTACGGCAGGTGGCTTGTCCAGCCCCCGGAACTCAGAGGGAGGGATGGGAGGGATCTCACAGTCTTCAGTGGACTGTGACACACAAGGCGCTACTCTAGATGGCTTCATTCAGCACCCATGACAGCCCTGATGGGTCCCTGTTGTCTGTCATTACAGGGGCAGCAGTGGAAGGTAAAAACCTTGGCTGCACTGCTAACCGATCACACAGGAATCCAATCTCAACAGCTCCGTCTTTGAATGAAGATAGGGCCCCGCCCATCCTGTCTAGCAGGCTTCAGGGCACTGGGTTGGAAGTAAGTGAGTGTTTACTGTCACACTCAGCATTTTACCCACGCAGTGCCAGGAAACTGCACTTCTCTCCACCAGCCTCGCACTTCATCTGAGCCTCTTTTCTGCTGCCCCCATTCTTTTTTTTTTTTTTTGGTTTTTCTCCGGTACCGGGAACTGAACTCACGACCTTGCGCTTGCCAGGCAGGCGCTGTGCCGCTGAGCTAAATCCCCAGCCTCTGCTGCCCCTCTTATTGACCTCGTTTGTATCTGAGCCATGCACCTGTGGCGTCCTCCACCTACTTTCCATCAGAGCGACGAAGGCAGGTATGTATTCCACAGGGAAGAGGGAGGTGGGCAGCTCTCGGAAAAACGCTTTCAACATCACAGCGGCTTCTCTGTGGCACATTTTGTCCCATTTAAATTTATCGGCGTTGAACTTGGCATCCAGCTCCTCACGGTATTGCTGCAAATCAAGAGAGGTGGTCAGCGTCCCATGAGCTCTTACCACAGCCATTTTCATCCCTCTGCAAACCACACAGAGGTTAATCAGCTACTTTTACAAACTTAGTACTTTATGAACTTAATAAGCTGCTTGTGCAAGGACATTGATAAGGCAATTTTGTCTAAGCCTGTTTCTCAACATGATCAGAGAATGGAAATAGGTATTTGCAAATGAATTTTTAAAAATAGTTTCTGAAAAAAAAGTTTTTTATGATATCAGGGTTTGAATCCAAGACCTTCACACTGAGCTACACCCTCAGCCCTTTTTTATTTTTTATTTTGAGTCAGAGTCTCGCTGAGGCACTAACTTGCCCGGGCTGACCTCGAATTTTCGATGTTCCCTCCTCAGCCTTCCAGAGTGCTGGGATGACAGACGTGCATCACCATGTTAACCTTGAAGTAATTAGCTGAATCCACACAAGTATAGAAGTTCTTTACTTAGCTCCTGGTGTCATCTGTGCGGCTTTGGCAGATCCCGCTACCCCGCAAGAGACATGCACAGCTGGCTCCTGAAGAAGTCTCTGTCCTCTTCTTTTTTGCAATCCCTCTGTCACACTCGCTTCTATTTCTAAATAGGACCAAGATGGTGCAGCTCTCTCAGGGCCACGTACAGAGCCAGAGGGGTCCCAGTAGAGCCACTCTGACCTCGCTGTAGCAAGCAGACCAACAACCTTGGCCTGGAGCAGTGACAGCGCACACGTGGCTTCTACACATAAAGTTTTGGCTTTGTAAGGCTGGGAGCGCCACGCAGTTGCTTTTTAAAAGAAACCTCCTGAAGTCTGTTTTTCACATTTTACATTACCAATTTGACTACCAATACCACCCTTCTCCATGTTTCTTTTCCAAAGCAAAACTAATTTTTTTAAGCGCTCCCTTTAACTACAAGATTCACCTTTGGCGCTAGGAAGTAACTATTCCACTCTCTCAGTTTTCAACCTTCTGTTTTATTCTCAGGAGAATCCGATTCTTCTGGCCTTCAGCACGCACAGCCAGTCAGCTCGATCATTCTACCTTTTCCTACCTAGACCAGCTCCTTAACAGGCAGGCACCAGAGCCCTCGCTCCCAGAGCCTGCAGGAGGGAGACCCTCTGCACACCAGTTTCTACAGAGACACCCCTAATTCAGCTCCACTGCCTGGCTCCGCTGATGAACTTAAGGGTTTTCTTCTTGTCCTGCAATCGAGTAGGAATACTACAGCTAATCAAGCAGCGCTCTGCAGGTAGAAGGTTGACGGGCACTTGATAAAGCCTTCCACACACACGTTAGGTTCATCCCGGAGCGAAAGAGATCGGGCCCCAAACTGGGCTCGGGAAGAGAGCGCTGCCTGAGACCTGCTTGGTGTCTGCAGGTGCCTTGTAGTCCAGCAGCGGAGCCTTTTCAGGAGTGGACGGTGCCAGCTCACACTGCAGATGCCGTGGCAGAGGCCCCACGTCGCCGCTGAGCAACCCTGAGAGCTGGGATCGGGGCTGCTGGGCCAAGTCTGAGTCCTGCTGGGCATCTCGTGGGGAGAGGGTGCGGGAAGGCACCCTGGCCATGAGGAGGAGCCGCACGCGTGAACGCAGCGCACGGAGGTCCAGTGTCACTCGGCTCCCAGCTCCCAGGGGACAGGGCTGCGTCCTGCGGGCAGTGAGGCAGCTCGGACCATTTCTAAGCCAGGCGCTGGCGAGGTCGGGGTCACCCTATCTGACAGCAGGATGGAAAGATGACTGGGGGAGTGTGGAGCTTGGTGTGGGCTGGGGACAGGGAAGGGGCCCAGAGCCCGGTCACTGGCTATGACACCACGTCTGGTGGTGGACAATGAAGGACTGACCCAGATGCGCAGCTGTGGAGCGGAAAGCAGGGGTGTTTAAGAATTGCTAAGGGGGACCGAGCCCGCGGACCGGTGATGAGCTGAATGTGGCCCAGGACGATTTCCCGGCCGGGATGGGCTGGTGCAGGTGCTGCTCATAGAAAACACAGGAGGAGGGCTGAGTCATGCACACAGCTGCCTGCCCCGTCACTGTAAAGCAAAGGAGAAACTGTTCTTCAAGGGGGCAGGAATCTGCAAGAGCAGAAGAATTCAAGTTTATTTCTCACACACCTCGGCCAAAGGAACCATCTGAATCATGACTGTGACTCTGCTGCTCTGAGAGTGGTGTCGTTACCGAGAGACAGCACGGTACCAGGCCGGGACTGGTGTTATAGCCAGGTTGTTGAGGCTTTAATCCCAACTCCACAACTCACGGGGCTGCCTGGCCTGTGCCTCAAAATTCTCCCGGTACAACAGGGATGTTAAAAACATTTCCACCTTGGATAGCCAAAACCATCCTGAGCAAAAGGAGTAAAGCAGGAGGCATCACACTGACTTCAAAACATCCTCCAAAGGTATAGTAATAAAACACGTGGTGCTGGCTGAGAACAGACATTTAGACCAGTGGAACAGAACAGAGAGCCTGGAAGTAAACCACACATCTACAGCCAAATGGCGCTCGACAAAGGAGCTAGGAGTGCCTGCTGGAGACAGGGCAGTGTTTTCAGCAAATGGTACTGGGAAAATTGCACAGGAACTAAGTTGGACCCCTGTCTCTCACCAGAAGAAAAGTTCAATTCAAAATGGATTAAAGATTCAAAAGGTGAGACCTGAAACCATGAAACTGCTACAACAAAGCAGAGGGGAAATGCTTTGGGACATTGGAAGGGACACGGATTTTTGGACAAAATCCCCCAAAGCACAGGAAACAGAAGCAAAAATAGACAAATGGAATTCTAGTAAACTAAAAAGCTCCCGCTCAGCAAAAGAGGGAAATCAGCAGAGTGAAGCGAGCACAAATCAACCAGTTTGAGGCAGCTTCATCCCAACGCTGTGGGAAGCCTGTGGCCACCAGCTCCGAGCGGGGACCAGCATGCCAGGCCGTGTAACTGTCCTGCAGAGGACATGAGGCAACACAGAGAACAGTCGGCCTTCCTCGTGACGTCTCCCCAGAGCTGGCATTTCTGCCATGGCTCGCAAAGCAAATCACTGAACACCCAAAGCATCAAATGAGTTCCAAATGATCCGAGGCCTCCAGTATGGGACCAGCTCTACAGTCAGGTCCCAGTTTGGCTACAGCCTAGCAGCTTCTTCTCGGAGCCGCTTCTCCACGGGTCTCACTGCGTGTTCCAGGCACAAAGCTCGGCTGGATGTTCCACAGCGGAGTCCCAAATGGTGTCATGTACCTGGCATAAGTGGGGATGGTTGTAATGGAGCTCAAAAAAGACACTGTCTTCTGCAGGGACGCTCCCACGAAAAGTAGTCTGGCAGAGGAGGTTTTAAAAGGAAAAGCCTCAGGTTTGAGAAGAGGAAAGCAGAGCAGACCCCTTTAACACTGCACTTCAGGCCCTCCCGCCTCTCGGTCCCTGTCCCTCTTCACTGGCCCGGGTTTCTTGCACATGGGCTGTTTTGGACCTGAGGCATGAGAACATCTGGATGGAATTTCTCAGACGAACAGGCAGTGGGATAAATAGGCTGACACTACACAAAACCGAGCGGGGGAGTAGAGGGACTTTGAGCTCATCGTGGTTCAGGAATGCCGGAGCCTCTGAGGAGTCCTGGCAGGCATGATTCACGCTGGGTAAGCACTTTTCAGTCCAAGAGTAGCTCGAGAAAAGTAATGTCTGCTAGCATGTGAACCTGTACACGCAAGAAACATCCTACTGTGTTTTCAAGTTGATTATTTAGTACAGGGTAATTTACGTCATATCCAGCATTCTTTTCTCACACACACACAAATATGGAAACCAGCAAGAATTTGTGTAAATGCAGCCTTCAATTACAGAGGGTGGGACGAAGGGATGGGGTCTGGGTCTGTTTTGGGAAATATATTTTTTGACTTTCTTTTGGGTCTTTGATGCTCTTGATAAGCCAAAGACTGGACCACCACTAGCAACAGCTTTCCACCTCCCACTTTGGGCACATTCGCTCAGAAGAACATCTAAGAAACAAACACAGGAGAAACTGAGCCAAGGAGACAGCGTAGGAACTGTGAACTTTAGGACCGTTAGGAATTGAATTGGCTTTCTTTTCTTTTCTTTTCTTTTCTTTTCTTTTCTTTTCTTTTCTTTCTTTTTCTTTTTGAGACGCGGTCTCACTGTGTAGTTCAGGCTGGCCTTGAACTCATCTAGAGCCCAGGCTGGCCCTGAAGTCACAGTGATCCTCCTGTCTCAGCTGCCCAAGTGGTTTACTGGTGATACCCCGGTTCCCCACTCTTCGCTCCGTAAAGGGAACTTGCTGTACTCATCTGCAAAGGTTCCGGCTGCTGACTTGATCTCTGCAGCTTCTGGCCCTCTGGCTCTGCCTCAGCCATGTCCATCGAAGGAAGCCCAGGCAAGGCAGAGCTGAGCAGTGCACAGGGCCGCCTGGGGATGACTGAGCCAGCCTGCACCACGGGCCCTTCCTGCCTGCCCCCAGGGCTCTCTTCCGTGGCCAATCTGCCTCAGTGGTAGGCCTCTGGAGGAGAAGTCATGGCCTACTTATTCTCCATTTCCACTTCAGAAACATCTAGTCACACTTCTGTATTAAAGCCCTGAGACTTCTGACACAAACAGAATTTCCCAACATACACACCACAGCAACAGACGAAGAGGCGCCTTTCTGCCGCTGTGCGTGGCCCCTGAATTTCTGAATAGTTCTAAAGACAACCACACTCGTTCCCCTTCCCTTTGTGCTTGCCCCTCGGGGTTTACCACCTAACAGTGAGATTTCCCACTGGAGGCTGAGGAGGAGCGCTCTTCTCTCCCGAGCTTCTTCCCTTACCATTCTGTGGAGTGCACTGCCGTGTGGAAGGAAGAAGGCAAAGGCACAGGGTTCCTGGGGCTCAGGGACGGGGTTTCCGACGTGGACACGAGCAATACCATAAATGGAGTTGGGATTTAGAACTGCTGAGTGAGAGCCCCTGTGGCCACAACCACCGCGACCAAGCCTTACACACACTTCAGGGAAAAGGAAAGCCGAAGAATGTTTCCAGGCTTAAAGCAACGGGAAATGGGAACAAGGGCTCGTACGCTACAGGCTCAGTGGCTTCCGTGACACAAAGAACTGAGACACTCGACCCCAGAGCACGACGGGCACCTCGAGACTGGAGACGAGTGGCAGCTCTTGGCAGTGCGCTGGCTCCTTGTTTTGCTGTAGGCTGCTTATTAATTGTTCTAATTTAAAAAGCTCGTGGAAGAAACACAGAATACTAGATAGAGACCAGTGATAGTGTCAAATACCTAAGCAATGTCAACAACAAAGACTAGATTCCAGGTCTCACGTGAGCTGGGTCTAGGCCGCTTAGATCTCTAACAAGGAAGAGAGAAAACACGGGGTACCTTGACTTTGGCAGTGCATCCTGAGAGTCGAAAAATTCCTTCGGATTCCAGACCCGACTCCTCAACTTTCTCAAAAAACTGCAAAGCAAGGAGATATTACAAAATAAGTACCTCCATGTGATCACAGACACCTGAAATAGCAATGAGGATGACAAGGATGGGGGAGATCCCAAGCTCGCGGATCTGTCTAGCATTCGGACGCCTCGTTAAATGCTCACAGCCTCCCGACAAGGTCAGCGTTATCCTCCAATCTGCCAGCGAGCACATGGGGACTCAACTTCCCAAGATTCACCCCGTGCCGTGTTAACACACTGCCTCTTAACCATGTTAAATTTCAGTGGCAACATCTCTTTGTGCAGACTGACCTGTAAGGAAGAGTCTGAATCTAATGCCATGAGTTACAACCGCTCTGGATGGTACTGACCAGCGACCTCATTTAACCCTGGTGATAATCCTACAAATAGGTCCTATTATTATCCCCACTCTACTGCCCAGCAAACTGAGGAATTGGAAGGCTAGACGACTGGCTTGGCTTCCACAGTGAGAGGAAGCCCCTGCGTCTCTATGACCCTAGGGAGCACGCACACCAGCTGCGACAACAGCTCACACCCGTGAGTGACCTGTGTGACACAGACCCAGATTTACTTAAGTGCTCACTGAGCACCTTCTGTCTGCTCCCCCTGGCTAAGTTCTCTGCCAGATTCCTACACCTGCAAAACAACTTCTATCCATGTGTTGAATCTCCTTAGATTTTTATAGATTTTCTTCAAACTGACTTTACATGGAGGACAAAGGGGCATAATTCTGGTTTTAATTTAAAGAAGGGAAGAAAGTCTTGGAGTTGTTAAATTTCAGGCTTTCGACCTGGACAGGCACCCAGCCTCCTCTGCCTCTACTGGTTCCTCGGTAGAAGGTGGAGGGTGGCCCTGACCTGGGCTGCCCTGTCTGAAGAGATGGGACATTTCTTATGTGACCAGGGCACCAGCGCAGCCCTGCTGGAGGGGGTTGGGTGGCCCTGGGCACAGAGGTGCCACCTGCATCCTCTGGCTGTCTGGTTGCCCCCCTGCTGTTCCTGTCACCAGCCAGTCAGTCACCAGTCTTGAAGGACCAGCTTAACTCGAAGTACTGCTAGCAAAGTACAGGAAGACAGCATGAGGGTGCAGAATGCTGGTGTGAATACAGTCACTGTACGTTTTCTCCATTTGTCTTTCTGTAAAACATTTAAAGGCTCTTGTTAAATTTCAGCGAGGTTACTGTTGAGGACTTGGGTTGTTACTCGAGCCACCAGATGTCACTGCTGAGCAAGTGCACACTGCCTGGGCCAGACATTATGAAAAGACAACCTAACAGTGAGCCCGCCGCTCGGCCCTGAGGGTCACAGAGATAATCACAGGAGACAGTTCAGACCACTATTTAAATTATGTTGTTCCACCAAACTACTATTTCTAGGCCAAGGATATAGCTCAGAGGCACAGCACCTGCCTGGCAAGGGCAAGGTTGTGCGTTTGATTCCCAGTACCAAAAAACCAAAAAACAAAGTTCTATTTCTAACTACTATCTGCACATCACACCTGAAAGATTACCAGAACCAGCTGATTTATTCACCTTTATTTGGAAAATTCAGGAAATAATTGCACATCCATGTTTAAAAATATTCAGCCTAGGAGATGAGTCAACAAATACTACACGATCCATAAGTACGTTGTTAATAGTTAAGGTCCATCTTTAGCCAGATAAATGAGGAAACACATGAATAAACACAAACTCATGCACAAACGACACCTGAAAAAGTATTAGAGAAAAAGCAAGCCAAGACAGAACTGCTGTGCCTGCCCGGTGTGTCGCCCCTGGGGTGGACAGCTGGGCAGCTTGGTCTCCAGTGGGCTGTGTGGAGGTGGCGGGCCCTTAGTGGGACGTCACTCTGGGCTCTCCAGCTCTCTAGCTTCCTGTCTGACCATGCGATCTCTCCCTCTGGCACATTTGCCCATCGGCAATGTCACTGCCACAGGGCGACCCAGCCAAGGGTGACTTTACCAGAGCTGGTGCCGTGTTTTGTGCACGTTCGGCCTCCTAAATTGTGGGTGAAGTAAATTTGTTTTCTTGTACAAAGTCAGCCTCAGGGATTCTGTTGCAGCAGCGAACGGCGGACTGTGAGCAAGGCCAAGCGGCCCAAGTACTCGCAGCCATTATGTGGACGCATGCAGGGAAGCGGAGGCTCACCACTGGCCCGGATCTGAACAGGACCACGGTGCATTCATTTTGAAAGGCACATTATCTGTGGGCTTACAAGGCACCAAACCCAAGCAGAGGCTGGAGGGGCTCCCCGTTTGTTTGTGGTCTACTTACTTTCTGTAATACAAGCGGGACTTTCACCGCAGGGTCTTTCTTGTGGTCATTGTCCAGGAGCACAGTAAGTGGAACTCCAAAGATCCCGTTATCTTCATTGTGGGAAAGTCCAGGGAGAAAGAAAAAGGAATCAGAAAAGCACTCTTTTACTCCAGGGCGCTAGGGCCAAAGCCCGAAGCAATCAGTCCTCTGAGTTACCTCGTCCTTTTACTTTCTCTGTTTTGTTTCTTTTCAGTTGAATTCCGAAGGCATCAAAAAAGGCGGTCAACTCGATCAGAGAGAGATGGCGGATCTTCTTCATGTCTTCCGCTGACAGGTCGCCTGCTTCAGTGAGCCCAAATCTGGTCTTCTGAACAATAAATTTCTAAGATACATAGGGAAGATACTGGGTTTTTATGGCTAAGGGAAATTATCATAGCTTCATTCAGTGCTACCTGGACATTCCACCGCTACACAGCTGTTACAGTTTATGTCTAGATACACACCTGCCCGAAGCCTCATGTGCACTTGGATGGGGCTTTTGGGAAGGAATTGGATCATGGGGGTGTGACACTTACAGCGGATTAGTCCACTGATGAGTTCATAGCTAACTGTGATGTTGGGAAGTGAAGCATGGTGGGAGGAGGTGGGGCACTGGAGCCATGGCCTGGACGGGTCTATCTCCCTCCTCCTCCCTTGATCTCTCTCTGCTGCCCTGCAACAGACTGTTTCTCCTCTGCCATGCTGCCCTGCCTTGGATCCAGCTGACTATTGATTGGAACCTTTACAAACTGTGAGCCAAAATAAACTTTCCCTCCTTTAATTTGTCAGTGTCAGGCAAACTGTCCCAGCAATGAAGAAAGTAATTAAGACAACAGCAAAACATGGTATTTGCAAAAAACATTCTGGGGGGGAAAAAAAAAAACAAAAAACAACACTCTGGGGAGCATGTTGGGTCACAGAGAGACTATGAGTGTGTCTGAAGCACCTGATGACTTTGCCATCACAATTGTGAAAACTGTTTCCCCATAAGGGATATCCTACTCTGTCAAAGTGGGGAGGAGCCAAGCACCACAGGGACTCTGCACAATACAAGCTCTCAATCTGGGTGACACATGGGGTACCCCTATGAGATGGTACGCCTAGGTCTAGCCCAAGATTGCTGTAGGTGGTCTCAGTGCAGACAGTCCCTCTCCTTAAATCAGGCTTTGCATATCCCACAACTGCATACTTTAAGACTTTCAGTAACCTCCCCATTGTCCAGATTACCCAGGCTCACTGAGATAGCAGTTACTCTACCTTAAAAGCTAGATTTAGCTGATTCCAACTTCTTTAAAGAGCAAAATGCACTCAACGCACGAATCATGTTACTAACCTCTTGAAGACAACAATACTGTTCCATTCCCACACAAAGAAATAAAATGCACTAAAAGATCCATGAAAAGGATCTAGAACACTGTGGACATCTAAGGGGCCAGTAAAAGATGGTCTTATGTAATACCCAGAAGGCTATTTCTTCTTGGAGAACTGGACACTGAAAAATATGCTAAAACAATAAAAATCTCATACTTTTTCAAACTACTAAGCTTTAAAACACACCTTCCACAAGGGTTCCCTAAGTCAGAGATAACTTGGGGATACTACACCATCTACCAATGCATCATAACCCCAAGTACTCAAAAGTAAGACAGCAAAATGCAGAATATAGCTTGTGCTGTTAAATACTCTTCATTATCTTCCATTCTTCCTGAGACCAACATCACCCTGCAATAACCCACAGAAACCGTTTCACCCATTGTGCAAGTACTGATGCTAAGCCCGCTGAGTCCTTCCCAGGAGGTGACCTGCACTCCGGCGATTACGACTCAGGACGAGCCAGCTCTGATGAGGAGACATCTCTTGCATGACTCTCTAAAGAGACCTATAAAGAGGGGCTGTCCCTGACACCAGAATCTCTAGGGCTTCCCTCTCTGTCCTGGAACACCATTCTGCCCTCCAATGTGGGGACTTCTTGGGGACCAGGAAGGGTTGGGACTTTTTGAAATCCTACTCCTCTGGGGCTTTGGACACATGATTTTAGCCTCTCTGGGCCTCAGTGTTCTCATCTGTAAAAGGGAGTAATCACCAGGGTCCACCCTGCAGCTAGAGCCCACGGTTCCACGTGCTAAGGGGACAGTGCTTGGTGATCTTCCTCGTCCTCTATCTCCTCCATCTCAGAGTGGTTGTCTGGGAATGGTCCAGGCTGCCTGGTGCAATGGGCCTGTTCCTGAGGACTTACTACTTTAGCTCTGACACAGCCCAAGCCCTGTGCATGGAACCTGTTGCTCTGATTAGCAGAGAACATGCGGGTCTCCAAGTCAGGAATTCTGCAAATGTGTGTCTATTTAACAAACAGCAAATAGATGATGAGTGTGACCTCGCTCTAGGTCATGCTTCTAGGACACAATGTTCCAGACACAGAAAGAGGCTTTGAGGATAATAGCAAACTTGTCTTTTGGTGACACCAGTTCTTGGTTCTCCTGAGTTTTTAGCATCTGTCCTCTGAACGCTTGCTTCTTGGTATGAGATACATGTAGTCAGTGTCTGCACTGACTGACAAGTGAAGTGTTGGAACACTCACAAACAGGCTGAAATCCCTCTTCTTCTGTGCTACGGTTAGGATCTACATGTCTTGAAGTCTTGCTCCCTAGGCTGTGGAGCTATAGGGAGCTGGTGGGACCCCCTAGGAGGCGGGCCTAGTGGAAGGAAGTGAGGTTATTGGAGGCGTGGCCTTGCCGAGGATGCTGGGACCCTTTCCTGTTTCTCATCTCACTTCCTGCCCACCAGGAAGTGAGCAGCTTCCTCCACATGTGCTCTGCTGTGAGACGCTCCTGCCCAAACACTGCAGTCAACTGACGATGCTGAAACCTCGCTAATCGAACCAAAATAGACCTTTCCTCTTTTCAGGCTGCTTTATCGCAGGAGTTTTTCAAAGCAATGGTAAGCTGACTAACCTAGTCTGTGAATCAAGGAATTAAGTTCACAACTTCTCCTCAGCACAGGTCTGCTAGGTGCAGCTAAGTGGGCCGGGCACTGCACAAGAATGGTCTCCCGCCACAACACCCACAATGGTGGTGCACAATGCTCATGCCCAGCCACCCAGGGCCCTGGGTGCTGATGGTCTTTCGTTTTTCTTTTTTAAGTCCTCAGTTTGGCCCATGGGGAAGTTCCAGAAAGTTACCGGGATAATCACAAAGGTTTTTACTTACAGTTAAAGTATAGTCTTCTTTCTTAATTTCTGATTTCTTCAATTTATTTCTCTTTGGGGCCTCTGTAACCATTTCTGAGTACGACACTTCAAAGGACAGCTCTTCAGCCTCTGTTGAAATGTTCTTTTCCAGATAGTCATCGTCTCAAAAAACAAAGACACAGGATATCTAATATGCCACCCAACCAGCACCATTTACCATAAAACAGCCACAAGACTCACAAGGTGACCCAGGAGCACAGGAGCATGTTAATTTCTGAAGAAAAGCACCAGCGCCCCCAGGCGTTCATCGAAGCAAGGGCGCAGTGAAATCCAACTTCATGTGAAGGCATTTCTATCATTACCCAAACTTTCCATTCAGTCTGAGTTTTTAAACGTTAGCTTTTTATGCCTCAGAAAATTTGCTGCTGAGGATTATTTACAGCCAAAGACCCTAAACAGGGTACTTCTATATATTCTTACATTAGTAATTAAACTCCATTAGATTTGGAGCTATTGCCCATGGGGACCAAGCGGAAGGAAGGGGAGGTTCCCACTGTTGCTCCTCTCTACTTTTATTCCATTGTGTTTCTCCCCCAAACTGTAGAACATTTGCCTCTTAAGATTCATTTAAATTCAGCCTAGACTCCCCTGCGAGGTTTGTCCAGGTGAATTAATGGGCAGTGCTGTGCTCTGACATCCGTCAGCCAGCCTTGCTTGCTGCACACCCTGAGAAGCTGACGGTGCCCGTCGTGCCTGGAGGAGCGCTTCTCTCCAGCTAGTCCGAAAGTTAACACAGATGACGAACACCCTGGACCAAAACCAAAGGAACCCATAAAATATCAGAGCAGCCCGACTCTCTGACTTCTGACTTTGGCTTGGCGTTTTGCTCTGCTGTGTGGCAAAAGTGCTCATGCAAATAACTACGTGAGTAATTAAATAATTAAAATATTAAAATTATCACTCATATTTTCGATTTTTATTAGCACATGTTTGCAGCACTTGATTACATTCAGCTCGTGCTGGTCCAGGACACATCTATTCTCTTTACGTTTCCTTTCTCTCCCCTCCCCCTTGGCAAAAGCTCTATCTCCTTATTTTTTATTATCTAGCTTTCATTTTGCTCTTTAAATTATGTATGTGTTAGGTTTCCTATATTAGAGAAACCATTCAATATTTAAGTTTTAACCCAGGTTTCCATCGCTTCAAAAAACTCCTGAGATAAGGCAGTCTGAAAAGAGGAAAGATATATTTCGGTTTGATATGTGTCTGATTTATTTCGCTTAACATTCTCGTCTCAAGGTGCATCCATTTTCCCACAAATGACTCAAATATACCCTTCTTTATGGCTGAGTAGTACTCCATTGTGTATATACATCATATTTTCTTTATTCCTCAAAAAACTAAAAAGTACGCATATTTGATTACAGAAAGAACTCCTTCTCTTTGTCTCTCCTATGGACATTATGTGATGAAATAGGAAAAAAGGAACAAATAGAAAAATGTAAAGATTTAATTCACCTTACATAAAAAGCTGAGTGAACAAATTGAGAAGACAACAGATTTAAGAGGTCTGAACTAACTGAAAATGCCATAAGAGGTTACAGTAAGAATTCACAAAATGGCAAAAGCAGAGGTAATTTTTTACTTGTTGCATGGAGGTCTGCCCTCAGAACAGATGAAGGGACATTATTAAAGAGTATTCTAGCTTCCCAAGGACCTACAGAAGGATTCTTTCGAGGGCAGAGATCAAACCGGTGGTACTGCGAGCCACAGGGCCACCACACCGAGATGTCTGTCCTTCAACAGCACGACTTGAACTGCATCGCAGCAGAGCAGCAGGTATCCGATGTGGCGAATTTCTGTGAGCCCCCTCTCTGCTTCCCTTTCTCCTGCTGTCAACTGTACTGCGATACAAGTCACACACTAGGCAACTGGCACTTAATCTAAGGTGTACAAATCGGTGTTTTGGTTTATTTGAGTCGGGCAACCACACCAATAGTGGATTCCAGAAGCTTTTTATGACCTCACCTTCTGATAGCTGACGAATGTACAGACATCGAAAAATACGTGCACGAGGAGAGTGCACAGACGTCAGGGAAACTCTCAGCCACCGCAGAAGTGTGGCGTTCAGGGTTTCACTCTCTCACAGAAAGGGCACAGTCCCACTCTGGGCCCACCCGAGGGGCCCGCCTGAGCCGTGGAGGGGCTGGACACAAGCTGGCCCCGCCCCTTGCTGTCACGAGCAGCTGGGGTCGAGCCAGCAGCTGAGCAGCTTCTCCCCTTCGTGAGGGCAGGGAAGGAGGAAAGGGCCACTTCCCGTTGGGCTGGGCTGTCGGTGGGACAGAACAGGGTGTCTGGGGCAGTGAGAAGAATGAGTGCTGGACGCCAGAGTCATAATGGGGAGAGAAACACCTACATTCGAGCTTTTAGAAGCTGACTCCCAGGAAGAAGGAGGGTCGTCACGGGTAGTGGATCGGGGCTGCTAAATCCCAGTTAGGATGAAGGAGGTCCAGGGTCCTACGGCACAGGCGGGTTTCCATGGCAATGATAACGCACAATACAATTCGGAAAGGTGGGGGAAGACTTGACAGGCCTCACCACGGACAAATGATGCACAGGGCAGAGGTCTAACCCGACGTGAGACCACACAGTATCTGCCTGTGCCATAACCACACGTGTACCCCATGGATATGTGCATGTTGATGTTTTTATGTATCAGCTTAAAATACACTAAAATAAACTACAAGAGACACCGTGCTGGGTGTCAGAACAACCAGATGACAGGTCAGTCACAAGCAGAGGTCACGGCACTCACCACTCAGCACACTTGGATCCGTCTGCCCGGACTCTGCGGCGCCGTTGGCGTGGACCGGTATATCTGGGACGGCCTCGAGTATAGACTGCCAAGCAAGGGGAGACGAGCACACAGCAGTTTACCAAAATGCACTCCGCCCTTCGTTGCAATCTGACTTCTAATGCAGTATACATGAATTCCATTCCCAAGAAAACCCATTTCTCAATTTCATACATGGCCTGCGTTGATTTCCTTTGTTTCTGCATTCAGTTTAGACACAGGCAGCTCACCCAGGGTTCTCAAAAGGGAGCTACATCAGAGGCAGTGCAGTTGAGTCCTGTTAGTGCTTAAATATTTCTTGGTATACATTTGCTAAGTTGCACTAATTACAATGCTTGATATCATATAATTCGATAACTAAATGATCTGTTAAGCTTGATGTATGCTGTCTTCATTATATCAATGTTACCATTCCCTTGGTACGAAATGTGGGGTGATAACAACTAACAAAAATAATCTTTCCTACTTTAGTTCCCCCTCTTAATTACTTTGCAAGTCTCCTCCGTGGACTCCTGCCCACGTATTGAACACTCTGCAGTTGTACTGGAAGCTAAGTGTCTCTCTGGAGAGTCCTGCATGGTGACTCTGGATGGATACCAGTAAAAAAAATTACACAGAAATTCTATCAAAATTTTTATAGGTAAGACCTATCCATTTTAATGTGGGGCTTATCTGTGAATAGGTGTGATGATGAAATCCACTATCCCACGAAGAATCCTTTGTGTGCTGTTCACATATAAAATCTGTTCATTTTCCCTCCAGTGCCTGATGTTTATTTAGCAGTAACCGAACACCTGCTTCATGACAGATCTTTTATCTTGCGCTACAAATTGCAGGAGGGAGTCTCACATTCAGAGCCTTGTGTTCTCTTTTTATTCCTATTTTATTTCAAAGGAGATGATACACTTTTAACCGTGTAAACAGCATGCAAATAGACGGCCAATGATTAAAACATGGATACCCGGATACTGCAGTAAGTGGAAGAAGAAACGAACACCGTCTGCGGCCATGCCGCTCATGTCAGTGGGACCGGTCATAGCTCTCCTGACCCTACAGGAGGAAGACTCCCCACAGCTGTCGTCCAGATCTGGAATGGCCCCAGGCCCCTGTGTGCAGGCTTGGGGCTAGGCTTGGTGCTGGTGGGGTGGTGGAACCCTTAAGCACAGGGGCCTGTGGGAGGTGTGGGTCACTGCGCTGTGCCCTTGGAGGGAACACTGGGACCCCAGCCCCCCTTATTCGTACTGCCTTTGCTTCTGGCTGCCCTGGGGTGAGCAGCCTGTCCCGTCTTGCATTCCACCATGATGTTCTGGTCCACCGCAGGCCCTGGAGCAACACGGCCGTTCCACAGGGGCCCCAAACCTCCTAAACTGTGAGCCAAAGTAATCGTACCCTCCTATACACTTCCCATCTCAGGATTTTGTTACAGCAACAAACACAACCAGGCATTAAAATTCTTCAAAAGATGTGGACAATTTTTCAGTGGTTCTCTTAAGCTTTCTCACTGTCTTAGTTGCTTTTCCCTCATTGCTGAGACATAATACTTGATACTCAAAGTTAAAGGGGGGGCGGTGGTGGCGCATGCCTGTAATCCCAGCACTCGGGAGGCTGAGGCAGGAGGATCATTGCGAGTTCGAGGCCAGCCTGGGCTACAAAGTGAGCTCAAGGCCAGCCTGAACTACATAGCGAGACCCTATGATAAATAAAATAAATAAATAAATAAAGACCTAAAATAAATAAATAAATAAATAAATAAATTTAAAAAGTTAAAGGGGGAAAGATTTCTTTAGCTCACAGTCTACAGAGGTTTCAGTCCATGATCAGCTGGCTCCAAGGCAAAGTGGCACATGGCAGAGGGCAACAGTTCATGGCGGCAGAAGACAGCAAAAGCAATGAGAGAGAGAGAGCCTCTTTCTGTCCCTTATATTGTATCCAGTCTCGGGATTAGGGTGGTGCCAATCCCAACAGTGGACTCATCCAGCAATCACCGACCCTAAACCCAGCACCCTTAATCCCAGTACTGCATTGTGAATCAATCACACACTGTAGATTCAGCCACTTCCAAAAAACACTCTATGACCGCAAGAGGCTCTGTGGGGACATGAAGACACAAACCATAATACCCACAAAGACATGCTTCGTCAGACTTCCGAGGCATTTACTGTGCAAGAGAAGACTCCTCTGAGAATCCAGAGACACTTAACTGATTTAGCACATCGACAGAAATCCCACTGACTGAGAAGATTTGGGATTCGAAGGTTTGGGATGCAAAAACCCACGGACGGAGAATTTCTTACTCTGTCAGTGGAAAAGTGTGCATCGACTCAGTTGCGTCACTGGCCTGTAGCTGGCCGACTCTGTGGATGAGCAGCGCCGTGTAACAGAAGTGACTGTGGGACATCGCCCGAATCCCTGCTCTCGAGCTACTTCCAGAGAGGAGAACAGAGGAGCATTTATGGCACATTATTAAAAGACACACAGCCCAGCATTCAGAGCTAATTTCCATAACACAAGCTGTGCTGAGGGAAAACGAAGGAGACGCAGAAGGGCTACCCAAAGGCTGTTACAGGTGAGGTGCGTGAACTTGGTCCGGACCTCCAGGACCACAGCAAGGATTTACAAGGGCACAGGGCCCGGGCGGAAGCACTCAGGCTAGGGCTGGGAATACCATAGACATTTCAGGTATGGGTATATCTGAAGCACTCCAGCACAAAAACTGTGAGGACACTGGAGCGCTAGGCGTTCAGTGTAGGATTAGAAAACATAAGAATTAAATTAATCGAGAGGTGCGTTCGCGTTACAAAGGGGCTGAAAGTCAGGCGGAGGCACTGAGGCTTGGAGTCATCAGGGGTAGCAGCAACAGAGTAAAACAAAGGCGCCCTCTCCTGTCAGAGCAGGAAACTGCACGCAGGAAATGAAGAGGGGAAACCCGGCTGCCCACACGGGGTCCTTGGCCTCTGAGGCAGGAAGGCCCGATGCTGAGGTTCACAAATCGCCCCAGCATCCGCGGGGCAGGGGCTCCAGGAACGACACGTACACCACAAGTCTGGTCCTTCTAGAAAATGCCGTTGCATTCGTGTATAACCTACACGCATCCTCAAGATACTTCACAGCATCTCCAGAGGACTCAGCTTACAACGTAAGCGCTCCACCAGCAGCTGCTCTACTGCATCATTTACGGAGTAAGGACAAAAAGAAAAGTTTGTATCTATGGAGCGAAGATACAAGTTAAAAATATTTTTGATCTGCAGAGGGTGAGGTCTGCAGCTGAACCCACTCACTTTAGTAGATGCTGGGCGATCATTTGATAGACTGCAACCTCCATTCCAGATTAAAGCAATTACAAAGTGTGGAATCCTAGAGCAATTATCCTACTTCATGGTGAAACATTAGAAGAAAAGTCCTAACGAGATGTTTATGAGGGGTAGCTGTAACCCCTTCCTAAGTTCATCTGGAAGAAATCATTTTTAAGAAGAGAGAAGCGAAACTGATGCCCATTTTGATGGGCGTAAGCTGATTCCGACAGATTTCAAAAACAAGTCCTGGAGACAGGCCCTGCCCATGTGGGGGTTTTACTTATCATGAAGTGGGCATTCAAACAAGTAAAAAAGCTTAAAGGTGGAAAAATAACTGCGGGGCAAGTCTAGCCTTGACTTTTCCCTTCTGGGAAAGAACAAGCTAGGCTGTCTACTTTCCAGCACCCATGACACCAGATCCAACAGGGCAAGTAGTTGAGGCACAGGAAACCCCAGCCATGACACAAAGGTATCCCTGGGAATTCATCCTGGCAGGAGACATTTACAAGTGGGAAGGCCAAGGGGTCGCAGTCCTGGACACTACAACTGTGGAAACCTGGCACCTCGAGGAGCTCGGAAGCCTGGGTCTCAGGCAGACACGCCCATGGTAAGAAGCCCACAGAGCTTCAGAACAAGTACAGCAGGGATCAAGCCAGCACCTGTGGGCTGCTGTGGCAATGAAGCTAAGTGTTTACCATCTCTAACGAAAGGGTTCTGAGTCTCAAAGAGTCCAAAGTGAGTCCAGCTTGAGACTGGCACCGTAAGGTGGCCCCTCTAGTGCTCTGCATGTCATTAGCTGGCCTTGTTTCTAGGAAAATAACACAGAATTCCGCGTAACAAACGCACCCAACATGGCTCTCAGGGGAAGTGCGGTCATGATCACCTTCTCTGTTTTACACCCTCAAACTTTCAACAATCCTATTTGTTGACAATCTGTTCTCAATAAGGATTCGTTCAATGAACGGCAGAACGAGCCGATAGTGTGGAAAAGTTAGCAGCAAAAAATGAATCAATGGAAAAAACACAGCCAGCAGCAGGATCATTAGAAATAAGACACTGATCACAGGGAATGCCATGGAGAAAGTCACAAGTGAGGCCCACACGCCTACCCCCTTTTCTTCGTAGCCTGGTATCAACTGTCCTACAGCTCCTGCTGGGGCACACAGGAGCCCGGCCCGGTCCCGTGCTATTGGCCCCATGAGAATACTTGAAGCTGGGTGTGATGGTGCATGCCTGTATCCCAGCCCTCGGGAGGCTGAGGCAGGAGGATCACTGCGAGTTCGAGGCCAGCATGGGCTACAAAGTGAGCTCAAGGCCAGCCTGAACTGCATAGCGAGACCCTGTCTCAAAAAAAAACAAAAAAAACAAAAAAAAGAGAATACTTGAGATGCGTCAAGAGGAGCAAGGAGCTTGTGTGTGAACTCCTGCCCCAGCAGGAGCTGTAGGACAGGCCTGGAACTACTGCAGCTTTGAGGCAAGACCTGCATTTTGGGTCCACGTCCTGTGGCTTGGGCAAGGACTGGACAGAGGGGCTGAGGCTGACGCTACTTCACAATGACTGAGGACGTGAGATTCTGCTCCACAAACATGGCTGCAAGGAAGGAGCAGGAATACTCTGCTACTGGTTGCATGTGAACAACCCACAGGTCCCAGAGCCGGTCATGAAGAGAGGGAAGGGAGGCGGAGCTCAGGCCGAGGCAAGCGGGTGAGGCTTAGGTGTGTGCGTGCTGCCAGCTGCAGCAGGAAATAAAGGGTCCCGGACAAGGGCTCAGAGCAGGAGTCCTTCATCAGAGGGACACATAGAGCTGTGTGGGCTCTGGTGCAGGGAACGCCTTTGTGGGGAGGGTGGAGACAGCGTCTCGCTAGGTAGTTTAGACTGGTCCTGACCTCACCGTTAGCCCAGGCCTGCCTCAACCTCATGGTAATTCTCCTGTCTCAGCCTCCCTAGTGCTGGGATGACAAGTGTGTGCCAACACGCCCAGCTAATGCGGAGAACTGTTTCTTCCAATAACTATACCAGAGTCTGTGAATGACTCATTTTCATTAATGAAGAGGTGGATTTGAAAGGAGGTCTACACAGAGACTCTCTTACTCATTTTCTTTCAATGCATGGTCTTACGGGGGGGAAATAAAATCTGGATTTGAAGCTGGGAGTCAGACCCAGCTGGCCCCCTCAGCCCATCTATGCCACAACCCACAGAGTTACTAAGGAATTACTCACTGGTCAGTCCCCCACTCATTTTATACACTAATCACATAACACACAACCCAGAACCAAAAGCCCAGAAGCACCACGAGAAAGCTAACTTAGATGGGGTGCACGGTGGTACTCCCCTGGATGACTCGGCACCCTGTGAGTGGGCCAGGCACGTGAGGGCCGGACCCGCGCTGCAGGACAGGCAAGGACAGAGAAACCGCTGTCCCAGCGACACCCCAAGTGCCACCTCCATGCAGAGGTCTGTGGCCCCCGTGCCTGCAGAGAGGCACTCCCCGCCTGTCTGCTGGGGCGAGCTCCACCCTGTCCCCTGCCGGGGCCCACCTCAGCGACACTGGGCAGGTGGGGATTCTCAAGGCTGACAGGAGTTTTAGACGGAGTCCAAAGTCTCTGCTTTCCCGATTATTCAGAGGCCAGGGGGCCAGGCAGCCCTGTTTCAGTGCGACCCTCGCTCAAATTTTGCTTCCATTTCTGTTTAAGAGGTCACTTCCTCACATCCTCCCACATCGGGGGTCCGACTTGCAGGTGTCCCTTGACAGGAGACTGTGCCCACGCGCAGTGACTTACCACGGAACTGTGCCCGGGCTCTGCGAAGCTCCCTTCCTCCTCCGGGGACCCATTGCATAGCGCAGGGCTGTCGAGAGACGCCTCCTCCGGCTACAGGGAGAGACAAGAGCGCATTCTCGTTTGGGGTGATCTTTCCAGTGCGTTTGTGCACCCCACCACATCCGTCACATGCTGACACACATCTGGCGATGTGGCATGGAGCATCCTGCCATCCCTGTGGCCTCATACTGACCTGCCACAAACTCCCCCCGCCTCACCGCCACCTTGGGTTAGCTCCAGGGAGCTAGGTGCTAAGTTGAAAGCCTGGCTTTCCAGGCCCATTGGCAGCGAGGAGGGGACCCGGGACAAATGTGTTACACAGGGTGGAAACGTCACCTTACCAAGAGGCTTTCCTGCCCTACGGGAGGGTTGGCAGAGGCATGCTCAGGACAGAACCTCAGCTGGCAGCCTACAGCCACCAGCATCTCTTCCACACAGGGTTCACAGGGCTCACAGGGACGGTGGAGGACGGCAGAGTCCTCAGATCAGCCCTGGTTCTGTCCGTGCCCGTCAGACCCAGGCCTCCTGCATTATGCATCTCTAGCAGAGTAAACAACTCCTACTTTTTGACTACATGCAGCCAGGTGCAAACCTAAGCGGTCTTGTCTCACTGCTTGTTTGTGTATTTTATGGCAAGATTTCTTTTGGGCGGGGGGACCAGAATTCAGTGGGCATGGTACCAGGTTGTTTTCTTTTTCCACTCATAAAACAGATTGTAGAAAGAGAATTTGCTTTTTTCTTTTTTGCTGTCATGTATAATGACTCTACTGAAATTAAGGCATGAATATGTTTTTCATTACTAAAGGAAATTTATTGCAAAATTGAATATATAATATTTATGTAAACATTTGATAGTTTGTCTTTGAAAAATTATGGTCTTTCATCTTGCTTGACCACATTTTCTCAATTTTCTACAGATGGTATAAACTCCTTTATGAGGTGAACAGAAATCTTTTCATTCAAGAAATACATATAACCAAAGAACTAGCCCAAGAAATTTAAATCAAGATAGGAAGCCATCAACCTGCTTCCCCTCCTACCCCAAATCATTACAAATAGCAACAAACATGTATTTTTTTTCCAAAGAAAAAAACTTTAAAAGTCATTGGAAACCAGGAGAGAATTCCATAGCCGACAACAGACATTTCCAGGTGTAAAGCAAGTCGGATTGGTCTGGTAAGATAAAAACCTTCAGCTAAGGCAACTTCTAGGAGAAGACAAGGGCCTGAAGAATGAGCAGACGTAAGAAAAAGACACAAGACAGTTCAGAAATGTTTGCAATAGGAGAACCTCCCGGAAGAGGGGGAGACTGTCCTGAAGTATACTCCTAGGAACATTTCTATCCAAATAAAACGGGGAGAATTCTCCAGTCGGAGGATGGGACACGTGTGCGTACCGGGTCTCAGGGCCAAGGAACTCCAGAGGCCGCGGCTACAACACAGAAGGAAGAGAAAACGAAGCCAGCTTTGCCCACAAGCGAGAGGCGGGAGTGCTCTTCCTCCCCGGCTGGCTCTGCAGTGGGAGAGCGAGTCCCAGCCTAAACCTCACACCACCAAGTGCGGTGCAGGCTGCTCACGGGACACACAACCAACAATGTTGGCTTTTTGGAAGAAATTGCACAGGAAACACACCACGACTTCCCAGGTGAAACAGCTAAGCAAATCCACGAAGTGCAGGTGCGCAGAACACTCTGGGGACTAGGGAGCCGCAGGCCTCCGCAGGCGTGCGGACAGCACCGGCCCGGGGACTCCTGGGGCAGAACCATCATCCTTCCTGAAGGGTGGGTTCGGGGACCCCAGGGAGCTGGACAGGAAACAGCTCCAGGGACCGCTCTCTGACTCTCCGGGTCAGAGCTCTTCCTCCCGCCTGCTGCCATCCAGAGAGCCACGTGAGGTTTCCGGGCCAGGCGGTGCTCATGACAGAGGTGGACATGTTACCCAGGCACCATTTACTGCCACACACGCCAAAAGAGAATGTGCTCTCCACACAAAATATTTGCATGTGGAAAATTACTGGAAAACATTAAATATTTGTATCCACTTGATATTGAATATACCAAAAAATGTTTACTTGGTGTCTGTTGTTTTTCCATGGAGCTCACCCTGGAAGACCGAGGTTTTGTTGACAATGTCCTCCGCACAGGATGTGTATAAAAATCTATTTCTGTGGCTCTTCTTTAATGCCCGAGCTTTTGAAAACACATCAGTTACCGTGGATTTACCTGTGAAATGACCCTCCACTGCGCTGAGCAGGGATGGTGGCTCCGGGTGTGGCTGCGGGCTAACAATCTGACTCAGGTGGCGTGTTCACAGCAGCACAATTCGCAATAGCTAGATTTTAGAAACACTGGATATTCCCATCAACAGATGACTGAATAAGGAAAATGCGGTATTTATACACAGTGGAGCACTACATTGCCATAAGGAAGGGAAAACAGGCATTTGTAGGTACATGGACGCAGTTTGAGAATATAACAAAGTAAAAAAGGTTAGACACACACTAAAATATCAAGTGGTTTCTGAGAAACGTAATTAAACGACAGAACAGAAGAGAGATAAATAGGAAATAGGGAGAAGTTCAAACACTCTCCCAAATTCCATTGTTTTAAAAATATTTCATGGTGGCACACACCTGTAATCCCAGTACTTGGGAGGCTGAGGCAGGAGGATCATTGCGAGATCGAGGCCAGCCTGGGCTACAAAGTGAGCTCTAGGCCACCCTAAACTGCATAGCGAGACCTTATCTCAAAAAGACAAAAAAAAAATTTCAATATATATGCTAAGTAGTTTCATTTATACTACTAGTTTATTTCAGTTCGTTGCAAAGAAAGATTAGTATTATTATCTGTTTCTTTTTTGTAAGAGTCTTTTTGGTTTACCTCTTGTACTCTGAGTAACTACTTTGTCAATAATGATACACAGTCTAATAACGATGGTTACTCTCTTGTTACGTGATTATGAAACTGTTTTATTTTTTTCATAAAAAAGTAAAGAATTTAAAAAGAGGAACGAGGATACACCTCACTTGTACCACATGAAAGCGCCTGGGAGCACTGCGCATAGAGCGCCAACCGGGCAGCATCCCAAACGCCCTGCATCCGGTGGGTAGAGGCACCATCAGTGGCGTATGTACACCACGGGACTTTATCGGTTGGAAAAGGATGACATGGGGCAGGTGGATCCTGAAGGTATGATTATGACTGAAAGAAACAGACACAAAAGAGCATCTTCTATTTACAATTCCACTTTTATGGAAGTTGAGAGCAACCCAAGTGTTAGAAATCACAGCAGGGCTGTGGGCTCTGAGACAGGGGAGGCCCAGGATGGATGAGGGCCTGAGAGAAGCTTCTGGGGTAGTGGACCTACTCAGTGCTTTGGTTGACTCTGCTTTCCTAGGTGAACATCTTTTTTTAAAAGCTACTTGAATTGCACACCTAAGGTACATGTTTATTACTTTAAAAATTTTGCCTCAATTTGAAAATAATTGGCTTTCTGAAAAAGTTTCATTCTTACCTTCAGAAAGATGGAAAGACCTATTTCTGCTTTGCATCGGAACACAGTATCATAACAATGGGTAACTCAGACTGAAGAAGTTGCTCTTGGGAAATAAGACTATATTTGCTGAAACTGACAAAAAGAGTGAGACAAGCTATATGGTAATACAATCATGAGGGAGGCGCAAATAACTGACCTGGAACTTAAAGACGGAAAAACCTAGGACACAGGGCAAACAGACCACATAAGAGAAAAATGAGGAAACAGTAGAAGCCAACTAAAGCAAAACAGTAACTGTTTAATGTGTGTTGGAGAAGGGACACCGGAAATGGGAAGAAAAAATAATGGAAGACTTAATGGAAGTAAATGTGTAGAAATTGAGGAGACGTTCTCAGACAGAAAGAACACACTGCATGCCGGCAAGTGTGAAGAAAATGTGTACAGATCCATGGGCAAGTTCAGCATTCCAGACCCAAACTCAAAATTCATAAAATTCAAAAACTTGTGCAGAGTGTAAACAAGAAAGCCTTGAGAAGATTCTTTGTAAAGGAATGAGGTTCTGGAAACTAAAATAAGAAAAGAAGGAAAGAAAGACATAATAATGCCCTACACCGAAGTCATCACAGTCTGTCAGTGAAAAATGTGGGAAATTGCACTGTGCAGGTTTTATAGGAAGAAGGAGGTTCTATATTAAAAACAGCCCACTGGCACAGGCACCTGCAAGGGTCATCAGCAGGGGTCATGCTGCCAGCAGCCAGATGTGCAGAGATGGCACAGAGGAAGGCCAAGGTCACAGGGCTGTGCCAGAGGAGCCCCTGGCCCGTCCCTCTGCAGTCATACCAGCTTTGGTTTAGCCATCATCGGTTTTTTACTTTGTGATTAAAACAAACTCCTACTTGTTTAAATCATGGTTCCTTAGATTTTCTTTCGTAGGAAGCAAACACAGATGTGAGTGAGGGTTTTTAACAGATGGTGTGATTGTATTTTGCAGTGAGTTATGAATCAATAGCACGCGTAGCTATTTGATTTCCACTGAAGACGCTGGAAATAAACTAGATTGATTACTTTGCCTTTTCAATAAGCTAACATCTCCACTGAATACTTATGTTGACTGAACATAAGGACAACGTCTTCTTTTATCTAAATAAAAAGCGATTGGTGGGCTAGGTCCCCGATGACTGCAGATAGGGCTACAGGTGCCCGACTCAGCGGCATGAGATACGTGAGCAGCTACTCTTTCACTGCAAGTAGCTTACTGCAAAATAAATACACTGGCTGAATGCATATTTACAATGAAATTGCAAAACTTTATATGGACTTCTTTTCAACATGTTTATCAAGATACAGCCCACATGCAATTGCCTGCATGTGAAGCTGCAATATTTAAAGCACACAGCGACTATGGAACATCTACCATGGTCACGATAACGAACAAAGCCAGCAATCCCCTGAAATGTCCTCATGTCCCTTTGGCATCTGTCCTTCCCTCCCCCCTCAGCCATCCCAGAGCCCTGCAAAATCACCGGTCTTTCTATCACTCTGGATTTATCCACTTCTTCCATCATTTTATATAAACTGAGTTTTTTGGTCTGGCTTCCTTCACACGGTGGAATTATTCTGAGCCCTACCCGAGGGCTCAGTACTGCCCTCCCCTCCCCCCGCCCCCCCTGCGCACTCCCCACCCTTTGTCCATTTACCTGCACAAGGACATCGGGTGGTTTTCAGTCTGGGGCTGTTAGAAATAAGGCTGCTCTAGACAACCGAGACAGCCGCCATGTGGTTGTGTTTCCTGCTGGCGGAACGCTGGATCTTACGGCAACTGCACATCCATAACATTTGAAGGAATTGTCCAGAATCTTTCAAAGTGGACCAACCGAGCTGCACTCCCAGTGTGCAACGGTGCCAGCTGCTCTGCTCCCTGGCTCTGCTGGCTACCCTAGGAGTCCCATTAGCCACTCCACAGGAGCCCGGGGGTCCCATGGGACTTCCTTTGCTTTATTTCTGCAGTCATTCATGTGCTGGGCACATTTCCTCGGGATGATTTGACGTCCTTGTGTCTTCCTTAGAAAAGCAACTGTTCAACTTTTTAGCCCATTATAAAAGGCAAGGAAAGACCTAGCACGATTCTGACAGTGGAAAACTCCTGGCATATTCCTGAGAGACAGAGGTGATCTGTCTAAGTGTCTACAGAATGTTTAGTATCCAAAGAAGAGCTCTGGTATTATTTCTGTCGACAAGAGGAATTACAGTCTGGGGAAAAGGGGGAGTTAGACCAGCTGACCAAGGCTCTTTCTCCTAAAGCCTGGGAGAAGCAACAAGATGTAGGGAAATGTGGCAAGAATCCGAAGCGGCCTTCATGCAAGAGACTCTGGGAGTAATGTGGGTTCACCCAGCTCTCACCACGGATGAAAGCAAATGCAGAAGATTCTGAAAATGACTTCTACTACCCGCTACAAACTGAAGAAAAATGACCTGGGCGCGGGTAGCCACACCTGTGCTCTGTCCACGGCTGACCCTTCACAGTAAACTTTCTCCCCAGGGTGACACCAGCGGGGAGGAGATAACCTATTAGAATTGCCAGTTTCTTTTTCTCAATCTGGGAGGAAGTTAGGAAAGGAAATATGACAGTGGAAAAATACATGATACATTCTACCGAAGGAGAGAAAAGATAGCTGAGGACAGGGCCACAAGTAAAAGCTCAAGGGGCAGAAGCGCTGGGTAAGCCACAACTAACACGGCCTTTTCCCGTTGGGCCATGGTTGAGGCCGGGTGTTGTCCTCGGCCTGCTTGACCCAGGCTTCTGGTAAGCGGCGCTGTGGGGAAGTGTGGGGTTGGACGCCGAGGTGAAGCCCTGCCACAGCGAGTGACTGATGTCCCCCTGACTGATAAGCAGAACACCCAGGGATGTCTGCTATAACAGGCACACTTGTGACTTGGTGGAGCTAACACTCCTATGAGAATTTTGTAAAAAAAGTACAGACACTAAGTATAACAAAAGGGTATCATAATTATTTGGTTCCTAAGAGCGTATTTATTTTTATAGGCTAGAACACGCAGTTAATCATAGATGAACTTATAAGGCTCATTCACCGCTGAATATTTTCCTTACAAAGTGAATAAAGGTAGCCAGGTACCTTGGCAGCTGTGTTGTCCAGCCACCCTCATTACACCGCTCTTTTTCCAGTTGTGCCTTTTGTCCTGGGACAAACCCCACCCTGAGCTCTTCCTCCACCACTTACCACAGGGCCACTTGTTTGGAAGACTTCCGGTAGCTGTTTTTCTTCCTGGTCGCCAGCCAATTGTGTAGTATGGTTGTCACAAGAAGCATCCGGCTAACGAAAGAAAGAAAAGCCATTTTAACGTAGGCATATCTTTGTACATGGGACCGTGTGCTCCACTACACATTACGTGGGGGTTTGTACTGATCTGTGCACAACTTGCTGGTACATAGGGCTCCTGGCTGCCTGTACTGGCAATCGCGCTTTCCAGGTCACCCACAACCGTACCGATTCTTACAGCGCCATGCACTACAGCAGATGTGGTCTCACAGGCAGACGCTGCTGGTTGCCTGGCTAAATCTCCTTTTCTCTTTTTCTCTATCACAGTTTTTCTGCAAGATGCTGTGTGTAATTGAAAAGTCCCAGTGTGACCCTGAAGTGGTGATATCTGATCAGATAAAAGTGAGTTTTGCTTGGTGGAGTATTTTCTTGTTGAAGTGGATGGAACTTGCTGGTCAGTGTGCGTCCCGGGAATGCACACAGTGCCTGAGATGCCGGGCACCCTATACCTATTCAGCGATAGCTCCTGTGTGAAGGGGAACAGAGAGGAAAGACGGCCAGGTCGGTAGATGCATGCCAAGGCGGCCATACAGCCCTCGCCTGCCTATGTTGGGCTACTTTTTATACGGACCGTAAGCCTGTAACTGTCCACTGATGCGACTTCTCTTAAAACCACGCCAGTTTAAAACGGACCTCTTTTATGAAAGCATTTTACCATTCACAGAAAGAATGGTTGTTTTTCCAGTTGGGAAATTGGAAATACATTAGATTGATTACTTCATGAACGACTAGGGCCAAATCAACTATTCTTTCCCATTCACTGAATTCTGAGAAAGCACTGACTTTCATTACGCAGAAGTACCTTTGGAGACTCCGTACTGCAGGCCTGGTGCACAAACGCTAAGATATAGCGATAAACTTGTAATAAGCCCATTTCCCAAAACTAGAAGCAAATAGTATATTCCATGGTTGAAGCAATTTTTCACCAATCAAACATACTGGATATTACTGAAATCATAAACTGTGCCACAAGACCTACTTTTTATCTTTCTTCTCTGTATTTTCAAACTTTCCTGCCAAGTTTCTGTGCTAGTAAGAGCAACGCACATCTATTTTTAAGTGGAAGCAATGCTCAAGAGGAAGCGGACGCAAACTGGACGGGGCTGGAGACTGGGCCCATTGCTTAGTATGAAGATGCTCTTTTAATAACAGGCTCCACAGTGGCGCTGGAGTCACAGCCGTGTCCTACGACAGATCAGAAATCATTAGGAGCCCTGGAAAATGTCTGTCTGAGGATGGCAGAGGCACCCGCAGCCTAAGGACAGCACAGGGTGACACTGCTGTCCAGGAGCAAAGAGACCACAGGACACAGCCGGCAAACGCCTCCGAGGAGGAGGGCTCCGCCAGCACGGCTGTCAGTCACTCAGTGCCGCCTCCACGCAGGGGCTGCGCAGACCTGCTGCCAGCCCTGAGGGTGGGACAGCGGGCAGCCGTGCCTGACCCAGGAGAGGCCCTGGGAATGCTGCCTTCTTGGACAAGATCTTAGGCAAGATCCCAGGCAGCTGTCAGGCTGGGCACCAAAACAGACCTTGCTGTCAGATTGCGCCGCACCTCTGGGAAAGACATGGATGAGGAACACAAGGAAAACACCAACTTTGTGTGGCGCAGGCAGAAGTGAAGTCCCTGGCTCCGCCCTCTTGGGGTGGAAGGTGTGTGCTCGGGCTGTGGTTTGAGGAGGTCCCTCAAAAAGTTGATTGGACCATCTTCCACCGCAGGATTCCCCAAAATCCCAAAATAAGACGGGGGAAACAGCTCAGAAGCTCTCACCAAATGCTGGCCTGGCCTCCCCAGTACTGGACATCCTGGCCTCAGAGCTGTGAGAAATAAGTCTGCTCTTTACTCGTTGCCTATTGAGTCTCTGGCATTGCTACAGCAACACAAATGGTCCAAAATTGTCCATGTGCACGTTGGTGTGTGCTATTAACTAACCTCCACTCACACACAACTCCGCACACAAAGTCAGCCCAGCCCTCTCATTCAAGAAGGAGTCCTTTGGGAAAATACCTATACAATGGCAGAGAGATGGCACATCATTAATGAACTGATTCAGTCTAGGAGTGAATGTAAATCAGTGATGAAGGACCAGTATCCACTGGAGAAAGTCAACAACTGTGTAAAAGAAATGCATTGATATATGTTCTGGCAGAAGCAGTTAAGAAAGCTTATCATGATTTAGTGATTTCAGAGAGATCAACGTGACTATTGCAACCATAAATCAGAAACTGTAAGAAAAAAAGAAAATCAGGGAAAATAGAAGCATTCTGGTGAAGGAACAGTATGATTAAAAATGTAAATTACATTTTAAAAAGCTGAATCAAAACCTAACAGTGGCTAAACTGTAATCCTTCCTGCCAAAAATTAGAATTAGGGATCTGCAAAGTGATGAAGCCCAAAATCTCCTGCACACAGAACAAAGACATGGAAAACAGAAGACAACTCAAGAAATATGTAAATTCCATCCAAGCAATGAAAGGAAGAACGCAGACAATGCAGAGAAATCATGGGAGGGATTCCTTCAGAATGAAAGGAATCATTTTCAGAAAGAAAAAGCTGAGTGCTGACAATGGTGGGGGAAAAAGACATAATTTCATATCCTGGTGACATTTCAGGTCTTGGCAATAAAGAAAATTCTAAAAAGCTCTGGACACATAAAAATGAAAGCAGGGTATAAATAAAGGAGGTAAGATTTAGAGAGCATTAGACTTCTAAGTCAAAAGGAAATGGCCCCATATCCACAAATTTCAGAAGGAGGCAGATTTAGCGCCTTGTATTTTCATACTGACCAGTATGAGCTTTGTGTGTTTTTTGAACAGGAGAATTCAGGGTTCTGAGATCTTCCTTGCAAAATGCTCTCTGGAGCTACAGGCTGCCAGAGTGCAGCATTGTGCGTGGCGGGCGCGTGCGGGGCAGATGCTTCTACTGTTCGCTGTGGTCCTTGTCCTGGGCTGGACCCCCTTGCCTTGCTCCCGTGAAGAACTGTGCAGACGCCCAGACTTGAAACGGCCCCACTCACAATTTTCAGCCTCAGGGCGGCAGAGAGCCACGCACCTCCAGGAGAGAGGGTCTGGGGAGTCTGCGTTGGGGTCCTCTCCTGAGCTGGCAATGTGGGTCCAATCCTGCATGGATGCCAGGCAGCTCCCTGTTACCCGTGAGCCTGAGAGAAGCGACCCCGACCCTTGGGTGTGTGAGCAGCTCGAGAGGGTGTGTGAGCAGGAGCTGGATTCAGTGCATTCCGGGTGGTATTTCCCACTGGGGGTGGGCTTAGCAGACGGGTCCGGCCAGTGAGGAGTGTCCACTCTGGCTGCTGCATCCTAGACACTGCCACACAGCACAGGGTGTGGCTGGAGGGCGGCACAGGGGTGTGATACCAGCTGGCCCCTGGACTAACTGTCAGAGGCGCTGGACCGACCGTGGCTCACACAGAAGTTGTTGGAAGGCGGTGGCCGAGGAGTGTGGGGCAGGAAGGTACAGGAGAGGAGAATGCAGGCCACCCTGCAGTCTGCCTCAGTGGGCCCAGGTGGCCCAGGGTCCTCCTGAAGGACTCCCTCTGAGGAGGGGCTGCGGATAGGATACGTCCCTGACACCTCCGCTGCAGTAAAGGGCCAGGAGGGCAGCGCACACAGGACAAAGCCGGTGGAGCTGATGCAAAATCATTTCCCAGTAGGCCCACCCAGGGGCTGATCGTGAGCTAGGTGTGGTGGTACACTCACGCTGGTGTGCGTCCTCCTCCCCACTCCGCTCCCATTGGTGGGGTCCCCTCCGTGCCTGAGACGCATGCAGCTCCTGCTTGGCCCTCACGAGCGGGTTTTGGTCCCTGGCAGCTTGTGGCACTCTCCATTCAAGCCAATCACTCCCTCTGCGGGAGTCGGGCAGGGGAGGGCCCAGTGCCTTGATACCACAGAGCCTGCAGCCCTGGCTGTTCTCTGCTCCTGGCTGGCTGTGTCCGGGGCAGTGGGCTGTGTGTCCCACCAACCTCTTCCCATTGGTGGCATCTATTCACACCAATTGGGTGAGGCAGAGGCAGTCACCCTAGGAGGCTGAGTCAGGGGAGGGCATGGCTCTGGAATCCATGCTGTGAAAGCTGCCCCCTCTTCAGGCTGTGGGGCCAGGCAGTGCCCACTGCAAGGACCACTGGGAAGGCAGCGGGGACCAAACGCTTTGGTCCTGTCTCCTGTGTAAGAACGCTGCACTGAGAAAAGTCCCAAACTCGAGGCCTCCTGCTGCCACCGTGACAGAATGACAAGGAGCTAGGCCTCCAGCAGAAATATGGCCCAGTGAGAAAAGGTGAGCGGCGAGGTCGGCAGCTCAGGGCTGCTCACGGTGCCAGCTGACTCGACTTCCCCGCTGGCCCCGCCACCTTCAGGAAGCAGCGCACGGAGCAGAGCCCCGCGAGGCAGCCTGTTCCGGGACAGCCAAGATCCAGAGACACCGCCTCACAGAGAGTACAAGCGCGAGGGAAGGAAGCTCAGCAGCAGCCCCACCCCGTCACCTGCATCATCACCATCACCGTGGGCATCGGATCCAGATGGCTCAGACACTCTTCCTGAGCAGAACAGAAACCCTTCTCCTCCGGCCGGCACAGGGAGGAACACAGAACTAAAAGGAAGGAGACCCGCACTGTCCAATAGTGGGGAGCGGCTCAGGGCCACTCAGTCCGAGCGGGGCTGGAAGCCAGCCCCCTTTGCGCCTTCCAGCGTTCCCACTTTGCACAGGTGGAGGAAGAGCCTGCATCTGCACCTGGTGCCACTGAGCAGGCGCATTCAAAGACAGCTACGGAGCAGGCTCCACAGGCGCACTCAGGCGAGCCTCCTCCGAAGCCCAGAGGGAAAATGGATCGGGCGCTGGGTGCAGCACGCATTTAACATTCGTGAAGCCCTGGGTTCCACCCCAGCAGCAAATCCAAATCCGTACACAGTGGGCACAGCGGCCTCTAATGTAGTATATGCCTTGAGGAAGCAGGCACGGGGGGGGGGGGGGGGGGAGGGGCCTCTAATACAGACTATTCACCTGCTCTGCCAGACAACACGCTTTCCCGCTGACTGCTACACACTTAGGGTGGTATGGTGCTGCTTCCTTAAGGCAGCCACCCGGGCAGTGGCACGGTGCTGATTCCCGCTAGCTATGTGCATTTGGAAAGCAGCCGGAACTCAAGCCCTGCCTATCGGTGAGAATTAAGTGAATACCGGCAGCGTGAGATCTTCCACTGCCGGCCCAGCCAAGAGCACTGAACCTGCCTGGCTCGGACTTCTCTTGTGGCTGTCGCTACTGCTGCTGGTTTTACTACTCCAGGCACAGAGGGGGGACGCGGCTATTTGCGGCTCTGAGTGTCTAATTATCCACACCCAAGTTTGATGATCTCCCTTTGCTTCACTGCTTCAAAGCACTGCCCTCAACCAGGCTTTCCTGGAGGCCTTGAAATAACGAATTTTTAGCCTTATGCTACGTTCCCTTTGCTTTATCTCTCCAGTTGCCAGTTTCTTTCTTTCTTCTTTTCAGTACATATGTGCTGCGCAGAATGCCCTCCCTCCATCTCTTGATCCCCTTCCCAACTGCAAAAGCTCCATCTCCCCACGTCCCATGATTTACTTGTATCGTGCTCTTCATGTACAGTGTTGGTGCTACTGAAACCATGTGCTGTTCACACTTGCGTGCCTGCTTTATTTCACTTAACACGGTGATCTCAGGGCGCATCTCTCTTCCTACCAGTGACTCCTCTACCCTTCTTTACGTCAGAATAGTACTCCACTGTGTGTAGATGCTACGTTTCCTTTTTCCATTTCTGCAGGGGAATGCTGATGGCCCTTTTTTACAACCCAGGGTTGCACCCAAAAGGGTTGGGCTGCAACAGAAAATCATCTGGTTACTGAGAAAAATAAAAGGCCACTGTTATTCAGGACGTCTCCCAAATCTAACTGTGCAATCATTCACGCATTATACGTAATACGTCCATTCACAGAGATTTGTGGAGACAGCCGTGCTCTCACTGCGTGTGTACAGATCACTGCATCCAGTCATGCGTCACCTGATACCAGGGTACAATAAACATGCCCTCTGTGGCAGATTTTGTCAACTGTGTATTCCAGTTCCAGGCTTCTATTTCGTGAACAGTATCCTGAAGTTTTTCAGCTAAATAAAAAGAACCAGTATTTCTCACTCCACCTTGTAGCTGAAGAACATAGTTCTGAACAGTGAGGAGCAATTGGAATTCTACTGAGTGAGATTTCTAGGAAAGTGATGTCAAGAGACCATTGACACCAGTTGCAGGAACTACCAAGAAAGTGGATCCAGGGCTGGAGTGGGCTACCTGGCCTGGACATAAAAGACGAAGGCTGCACGTGAGAGACAAAACACAAGGAAGCTGGACTGATGTCAGGGAAAGGGATCACCTCTCTTCCACTTCTTCAAAGAGCAAAACAAACCCATAGATTTGTGACTCGGGCTTTCTTGGGTTTGCTGTTGTCTGGAGTCGAATGTTTACATACGTGATACAAACCATGCTTTTAGATGCATGCTGCATGACGAGATTTATATGATCAACTGTAAATCACTTTCACCTTTAGCTACTTGCTTATAAGTAGCTGGAGCTACTTGCTTGTAAAACTGGAGACAAATGAGATTTACCATTTTTCCTAATTAAATGTGTTATTGGAAAGAATACTTAATTTACATATTCTGAATATTAGAGAAATGTATTTGGGTACTAGAAATCTGCTCATGATGGATAGGACTGTAGGCTATTATGTATTATGTTCCCTAAAATTGATTTAGCATTTGTGATTTATTGAACAACGGCTCTGCTAAAATAAGGATTAAATATTCCGTTTCTTTACTGTAAAGAAATTTTAAATTTATTGGCTGTTTAATGCAATCACAAACTTTATTTGGGCCCTACAGAAGTTGCTATTTTTTACCTTGCCTGGATACTTTCTGTTCCCAGTCATGAGTACGTATTACCTTTGTAATCAGGAGCAATAAGGGAGATTTATTTTTTGAAGGGAAAAATTCTATCGAAAAGTCAGCACAAGGAAATTGGATCAAGATAACAAAATGCACACATCACTTTCTCCTTTCCCGGCAAATAACTCTGTCAAAAGCGATCTTTTTAAAGGAGTAGATCTAGAAACCACTCAACATTTCCATCAGCACAGCGGAAATTGGTGGGCACTCCTGGGAGACAGAAGCCCAGCGAGAATGGTTTGATAAGGGCAGGAGGAAACATCAGCCTGAAAGCAGGCACAAGAGAGAGACGGTGGACAGTAAATGCTTATGCAGAAAAGGCTCAGATGCCAAAGGACACGAAAAGACCGGGCGCATCCCCAACGCAGGAGACAGTGGCCAGAGAAACTGAAAAGGGGTTTTTCCACACAGAGACCACTTTCCCTGGGCGCGAAGAGCAGGTGACAGAGTGACCACCTTGCTTGGTGGGTCTGGCAGATGTCCTGGGTAGAGGTGTGGCGGCTCTGGACAGAGCAAGGTTTTGGGGTTTCCTAGATAAAGACAGAAGAATCCGAGGGGGAGTTTGGTTTGCCGGGTACAGGAGCTTGGTCCAGTCACTGAGGACTGACTGTTAGTCAGGCATCGACGCTTTACTTCTGTCTTCAAATGAAGCGTGGCAACTCGTAGACCTCATATTCATACGACCCTGACTCCTGCCCTCAGGGGAGTTCTTCAAAGAAAACAAGTCTACACAGTTGTACAGGAAGCAGAGTGATTACCTGCGCTAATCCAGCAAAAACCCAGCCCTCCAACACCCAAGAGTCAAAATCAACTCAGCAATAGCAACAGGAAGAGGAGAAGGAGGCCCATAGGTCGTTTCCAACGCTGTGGAAGGTTCTAAAGCACAGTATGCTTCTAGGGCACTACCGTCACGAACGCAGGGCTGGCCAGGGCATGCGAGCTCATGTGGCAAGAACCTTTGTGGTCAGTGTAACTGAGAAAGAAGAGGACAACCTAAAGGGTCTCACAGTGCAGACAGTCTTGAATCATGGTTTCAACACCCTTGGCTAGAATTTATGCCACCATCGATATTACCGTGAAACAGATGGGAAGCCTAAATCAGAGTGATTAACTAACTTGCCCCGGGCAACTTATCCATAATTGCAACAGGATAGTAGATTGCCTTTTTTCCTGTACACTCATGACCTCCAAAACGGCAAGAATTGTATCTGCACAGAATCTCACAGAGGATTGTGCACACACAATAAATTCAGTAAGTCTTTGTTGTGTCATTAATTAATTTTTTTGTTAGTTTTTGAGACAGGGTCTCACTATGTAGCTCAGGCAGGCTTTAAACTCACTATGTAGCCCAGGCTGACCTCAAACTCATGGCATTCCTCCTGCCTCAGCCTCCTGAGTGCTGGGATTACAGGCGTGCCCGTGGTGCAGGACGTGGCCGGACACCACGCCCAGCCATCATCCTGCAATTTATTCTAATACAGCATGCAGTGAATGAAGGAGCAGATAAGGTGCAAGGCAGACCTAGCAGCAAAACTCTGGCAGAAATGAGAGGAGACAGCTAACAGCCTCAGAAGGCCTCAGCCCCGGAACTAAAGGTGGGCGGGGCTTCGACCATTTCTCATGTGACACAGGGCGCTCCTCTGAGAGCTTTCTGACTCACTCTCTTGCCCACTCAACTAGTTCTGGTATCTCTCCTTTCCGTACCGTGCTGATTTTTCAGAGCACAAAGGCTCGTACCCTACCGCACCCGCGTACCGTGTGAACAATCACTAGGACTTGCTTACAGCACTGGGGCCATTTCCGCCGGGCTCTGCGGCTGACCGCAGAATTCCCACCCCAAGCCCGAAAGGGTGTTCTGCGGCCTTCCGCACCTCACTCTCCGGAGGGGAGGAACTCGGCACAGAGGGGTGCGGAGCAGAGAAGGTGCTCACCTGGGCCCGGCCCCGCGCTCTGCGCCGCGCTGCCCGCTCTGGTTCGCTCTTTAGGCCCGGCCTCTCCCTCCCCTCGCCTGCGAGCCCTGGCCACACTCACCGGAGCCTCGCTGAGCCCGAAGACGTCCCTGACGTCCCTCACGGGCGGCTTGCTCTTTCTGCGCAGCGTCTGCGTGTAGGTGTGGTACCTCTTCTGCACCGCGGCCGCCTGCGTTCGCGTCAGCGTGGAGAGCAGGGCTTTGCCGGCTTCCTCCTCCTCCCCGGAGAGCAGCGTGGACAGCCCCACGTCCTGCAGCCACTCTGCCTCCAGCTCTCCTGCAACACAGGAAGCACCGAGAGGGCTGGGACGCTGCGCTGCTGGCCCGCGCCACCAGAGGACGGGGAAAAGTGGCGAGGCAAGACAGCCTCAATGCCTGGGGTGGGTACAGGAAGGGCTGCAAGCAGGGATGAAAACTGACAGCGTGCTTCAGGCTGGCCTTCAACTCACCATGTAGCCCAACTCACAGTGATCCTCCTGCTTCAGCCTCCTGAGTGCTGGGATGACAGGTGCGCACCACCATGCCCAGGCAATATTGTAATTTAAAAATAAGCCAAATTGTAAAACGTTGGCTAGCGGTGCAAGTCTGATTGGTAGACTTGGAAAGGTCAGTCTCCTTCCCAGAGGTTAAATATGTCCTGTCTAAACTACCAACTTCCAAAAAAAGATAAAATACTGAATACACTAAAGCTGAAACAGGAAACACATGGTTTAATGGAACGTGAAGGGGTTTGTTAATCACTGAAGGGCAGGTTCAAATCCCAGCTGCCACCACTTACCACCTGAATGCCTGTTATTCATGTTACGGTAGCTGCAGGCCTCCGTGTCTCCTCAGAAAAGTGGGGACAGTGAGTGTCTGTATTTCTGTTGCCTGGACTTCCATTTCTAACCCAGGGTGAACCCTGCCAGACCAGGAGCAGGCTCTATCACCCTGGACACAGAATCTAGGGGCCCACCACCTGTGCGGGGTCTCTGCCTACGCCCCTTGGGCCTAGTGCTTCTGCCCACGGGCAGCTGGATGCTGAACAGAGCCACTGACCACACCGAGGACTGTGCCAGATGCCACTGCAGGGACACCTCTGTCACAGCCTCTCTGCAGGGAGCGCGAGCCTCCACCCTCTAATCGTGCCCAGCAGGAACTCCTGGGTGACACCCTGGACCCCCGTGAAGGCTCCAACCCACTGGGCGAGCATGCGGGTCCTGACGGTGTCCCTCTTCTCTCTGGGCCTGTGAGCAGCACCCCTGTTCCTTCACTTCCTGTGTCTGTCCACTCCTGTGTCTGCCCCACCAACACCAAACCCAGCTTCTTTCCTGGTCAGGAGCAAAGTGGACGCAGCCTGGACAAGCGCACAAGGGCACTGCCGGTGTAAACAAGTTTCCCGTGCAAAGGCCACACAGCCAGTCTGGGGACACTAGGCATCAGGCCACCTACTGAGGTACACGGTCTCCTGAAGTGGTACGTGGTACACATGCACAGCGACCTCCCTGAGCGAGACCATGACATCAAAGGAGAGGGCCACACAACAGGGACGACAGGCACCTAACTGTAGGGGGCTGGGAGGTTTTCTTTTAAAGCAATGTTATTTATAAACATGGCAGAGAGTGTGCAAGAAAACTAGGTATTCAGTAGATGCCCTTTTTCTGGACATGATGTAATCGTTTATTTTCCAAAAGGCAACCGAAACACCTAAGATTCATCCGTAAAAATTAATTGCTATTGTAAACCAGATGGTAGAAATGAAAGGAATTCAGGACAACACCCAAGAGGGGCAAAGCCACTACGTGTGCGTGTCTGGGTACCGGGCTAAACAGGGTTCCCCTGAGCCTGGACACAGGCTGTCAGAGCAGGAGATGGAGCGATTTGTAAACACAGGCTGAAGCTCTGGTCTAGGAGCATGGGCTCTGTCTGCTTACGGCATCCACAGTCCGCCAGTATAGCCCAACTGTGCTGGGCACATCCAGTCTCTCAGCCAGGCGAATATTTTATTTGCTGTCTTGTTTTTATTATTTGTTTGTGTTGCAAGCTCTCCCTCGAACAGAAAATGAAAGGGAATTTATGATATGACTTGGAGGTCTTCCTTTACTTAAGCCTTCGGTAAGATTTTCATTTCCGAAGACAAAATTTATAAATATAGGTTAATATTGCAGTTTGGAGAACTGGATTTTATTCTCTCCGCACCTCTGTAAGGAGTAAGGACAGAGTGGGGGAGAGATTGCTTGGCTAGCAGTCACGTATGCTGGGGCCGGCTCTGCCTGCAGCCCATGGAGAACACATCTCCCCAGCTCAGAACGCTGGTGGCAGACACCTGCTGGCCTCCTGTGGAGGCCTGTACAGTGCAATCCTGGTGTGACGCCAGGGATGGGTGGGTCGCTGGATACACTACACTCCTTTGAATTTCAGCTCCATGCACCTCCATGCCTGCTGGGTACCTGCTTGGCTTTATCAGTCATGTCACATTCAACAGGTCCAAACCTGGCTCATGCTCTTCCTTCCTGACTTGGGGCTTCTTCCACTGTTCTGCATTTCAACAAACAAAACCTCTACTCAAGTAATTAGGTGGGCAAGTAACTCAGGAGACAGTCTGGCTTCTGGGTGTCAAATCCAGCACATCATCAAGACCTTTCGACACTGATTCCTTACTACAGCTCAAAACTATCCACCCCTCTCTCTCTTCTTCCATGGCTCTGCTCAAGGCTAACATCTGTCACTGGGCCTGCAACAGTTGGCTCCCAACAGTTCTCCCTCAGCTGTTCTTGGTCCCCTCCCAAGCTGTTTTCTACATGAAATTAGATTAGTCCTTTCTGACACAAATAAAAATAACACTATGACCTTTCCTTGCTTAAACCTGGTCGACAAGATGTCAGGCTGTCTACCTTCCTGGACATACCCCTACCAGGCTCTCCCCACCCTCGGTCTGCCCACGATGCTGGCTTACTTTGGAGTCTCCCAGAGCTCTGTTCTCTGTTTTGTTAGAAGGCCTTTGGACGTGCCAGTGCTCCCATTCGGCCCTGCCAGCACTGCCCACCCTGTCTCGGACCTCAGTCCAGACATCTCTGCCTCATGGAGTCTTTGCTTCCTGAACCCATCAGCCTTGGCCATGTCCAACCACTCAGTCTCAAGGCCACCTTTGCTTCTTCCTTCAGGAAATTTCCCCCAAATCAGATCTACTTAGATCATTCTATTCATTACTGCCTCTTCCACTAGATTGTTAACTCCATGAGCAAATATATCAGAATACATAAACTTGCCATGAAAGGTAGGGTAGCGCATATTGAAAAAACTGTCTTGTGCATAGCTGTGGTGAACCCTGGACAAAAATACATAGAGTAACGATCTGAAAATACTGGAGAAGAATGCAGGGCAGGTGGGAAGAGAGAAAAATAACTTCTTCCAAAAGAAAATACACTTGGTGAGATTTATATTTATATTGCATATATAAGTATGCTGTAAGTTAAATGAATACATAAAGATATCACACTGTATACCAAAAGACATACAATTTTATCTCAGTTGCACTTCAAAAAAGAAAAAGAGAGAAATTCAAAGCAGAGCACACACACACTCGCATGCACACAGTCTAAATTGAGAGTGGGAGGCATAGCTCACAGTAGACTTCTTACCTAGCGTACATGGGACCACAGCATGGATCCCCAACACTGCACCAAAATGCCACAGAAAAACCCTGTTGCAGCATCAAGAAGGAGCAGATGGAGCCTGTCACCCTGTGTAACTGGTGTCTTTTAAGACAGGAAGCAGGAACCAAACATAAACACAGGCCCGTGCTCTAGGGCCTAGGAGGTAGAGAAGGTACCATGAGCTGTTTAAAAAGCAGGTATCAGCATGGGTTCCAGAAGCCCAGAGAAAACCATGGATCTGATTCTCCCCTACAACCTGCAGAGGGGACATGGTGCTTTTGACCCAGCATTTCTAGAACCGAGAGCATAACCTGCTGGTGTTATAAGTACCTAGTCTTGGGGTACTTCGTTGAGGCATCCCAGTAACTACGTGACACAAATTATCCAGTGATGGAAAGGAATGAACTACTGATTCTCTGGCCAAACCGGAAACACTGTTCTCATGCTGTCAGCAAACACCACACTAACCGAGGAGGCGGAAATACTCGCACCACTAACATTCGCCTCTGGCCAGGATGGTGAGCCACTGGGAAGGAGGACACTGGGATAAAGGATGGGGGGTTTTCTGGATTGAAACATTACCTATTTCAAATAGAAAGATTATTTATATCTTGATCAATGTAAAGTTATATGAGGGCACAGACTTGCCAAGTTCATTGAGTTGCATATTAAAATTCTGTACAAGTAGTTCAAGCACAGGTACCCGTCAATAAAGACTGAGGTCTATGCAGTAAGTCTGCACTTTGTAGTTCAGCTTGGCAAACATGAAAATGTTTTCTGTATATTCTGGTCCTGAACAAATGAATAACCACATAGGGGAGGGGGAAGCTTAATCTTTCACCAGAGAAAAAGAAATGACAACAGAACAGCTACGTTCCTGGATTAGAATTGGGGGTTCTCAGTCTGAACCTATGGCTTTCACATGAGTCAACAGCTAGGAAGGAAAAGGGAGGTAGGATACCTGTCTCCCTTGATGTGTCCTTCTGTCTTGACTGATCTGAAAAGGCAAAACATAAAGAAGGAAGGAACAGTGGGACTAAGAGCTGGCCCCCGAGAGGAGGTGTTCAGTATTGTCCATCACTGACAGCTGTGCCTGCTCTAAGCACGCTGCTGCTAGCCGGGACTCCATCACACGCCCCATGGCCACCCTGGGAGGCAGTAGCCATGGCCGGCTTCAGTCATGGGTCATCCAGATCCCTCCGCACTGATGATGCAGCCCCCTCCGGCCACTTCAGGCGTCCCCACTGTGCCCGTGAGGAGCTGTCTACCTGCCCGTGCCCAAGCCGAGAGTGAAGGTGAAGCCAGGCTGACGTGACTGAGAAGAGTGTGACGACAGCCAGCAGAACACCGTGTGCATGTGTGGGCCCACTCTGACTTTCTGTCCCTCCTCTCACCCTTATTAGCTCAATCCACGTATCGCCTGCTGCAGCGTCAGTCCAACAAAGCTTCCTTTGTGTGGGTTTACTGCCTTCATGATTCCTTTCTCCAGCAGGGAAGGCTGAGCTGTTTAGCCTAAGAGATGGTAACATTTAAGGCTGCTGGCACAGAGACACTGAGGGGGACAAGCAACCAGACAGCGGGGCATGTGGAGCTGACAGGAGAGCAGGAGGGCTGCGAATATGGGGAGGTAGCAGCCTTGGCCTCCAGAGCTCAGAGCTCCAGGGAGCTGCACTCTGCCCTGTTTATGATTTCTAACCAAACCGAGCGAAAGAACCCTCAGCTGCGTGTGCGGTAAGGAAGACGGTACCCAAGTGGGGCCTCGCTCTTCCAAAATGTTTTACAGCGGATTGTCTTACGTCCAAATGATCCTTTCTTAGTGGCCAGAAAGGCAGACTTGTAGAAGATGGAATAAAGAACAAGAGGGATGTTTAAAGCTCCAGCTCCCCCTGGGAACTGTCCTGAGGCTAATCGCTTTCTAATGACCGTGTTCTTAGGGCTATGCGCACTGTCCCAGTGTCCACCTTCCTTGGGTACCCTAACCTACGCACTGGTGCCAAGGGGGCCTGGCACAGGTGGCCTGCGCTTTTAATCCCGGGGGTAAACTCGTTCTCTTTGAGCACTAAGGACAATTATGATCAGTTTTTGGTTTCCTTGTTTCTGTCTCCACTCATCTTCTCTTTAGTTGTACTAAAAAAACCAGAATTTTTTGTATAGATTTTATCTTGGGGAATACCAGACATTTTAATACATTCATATAAGTGAATGCTTCAGAGTCATTTTTTTTCCTAGAAAAGTTTACTGACAAGTTCAGTCTGTCTCGATCCTTTGCTCCCTGGTAATTAATAAGCAAATATGCAGAGTAAAATCCACCAAAACGAATTCCTAGTCTGAGGATAGTGTCCGAGTCAGTAGACAGGCACGGCACCCCTAAGCACCAGTGTAGAAAGGCCCTGTCTGGATGTTGTTGCAGCCCAGCTCACTGAAGCCTCAACACCTTGGATAAAACCACCTGGAGCCCGTGAGTGGGAGCAGGTCGTTGGCCAGATGCTACGGATCTACACAAGTACTAGTGCGGGGATTTCTCCTCGCACAGAATGCAAGGGAGTGAACAAAGAAAAAGCTCTAGGACAAAAGTCCAGGCCTCACCATCCACAGGCTTGACCTCGGGGGCTGGCTGCTCCCCCTGCACCCCGACACTGCTCTCGTTGATACTTTCTATTTCCCGCCAGAAATCCTCCATGGATGCGCTGTCCACGGAGGCCTGTGAGTTGGAGCGGCTGAAGGCTGGAGCGTGCAGGGATTCATTGGAGAGCATCCTGTTGATTCTTCGGCAGCGAGGGATAGACTTTCTGAGGAAAGAATAATATCGGTGAGTAAGCATTGGTGTTTTTATGTTGTAAAGTCACAAAATTAAAGTTAAGACTAAACTCAGTGGAGAAAATAATGCAGTAGAGACAGGGACTTGAGGCAATGTTCTTCATTCAGTGATGGACCCTCTTTCTTATACTCTGCACTTCATAATAACTCTGTGATATACAAAAATTGACACGAGAATGTTTTCATAATTCTCACACACTCATACACTATCTCTCCCTGCCGAGACATGCACAGAAGAAATTTGTTTCTGTAAAGCACCCAAGATGATGACAGAGAAAGATGTTAAAATGTTATCTGCTTATATCTTTTAGGGTAGTCAGTGTTAAGAAAAAAAAAAGTTCCAGTGTTTGTATTTTCTGTACTTTTAGGAGTCCTTTCAGATATCTAAATCTGAAAGATTTAAGGAGAAAATTCTAGAATTAAATCTTTGATCCTTTCACAGTGCCTGATTGTAAGTAGTTCTATTTTTGACATCACCTGACAGTAACATAGCCAGTTTATTCACTTTAAATCAGACTATTTGGGAAAAATATGAAATATGTACTTTCTTCTGTGTTCTGTGATAAGAATTCTAGGTAGCTTTGTTTGATAATTTGGTATTGAGAGGTTTTTGCTGAATTATCTGTAGGTGGATAAGACATCTTAGTAGCTGAGAGACATATGAGATCAACAGATAAGGTGATCATTGCTCCTCTTCTTGTTTTCTAAGCCTTTTAAAGGGCCGAGAATACAGCTCAGCATCACAAGCACCTGCCTGCCCGGCAAGCGCAAGTATTGAGTTCGATTCCTGGTACCCCAAAAAATACCCAAACAACAAATGTTTTCTAAGTCTTTTAGGAAGTCTTTCCTTTCAAAACAAGAAAATACCAAAAAACGCTAACAAATTCACAGAGTGTTTGTCTATAAATATCTTCTTGTACAACTGAAGTCAATTACCACGCTGACACAGCCTTCTGTCTTACAAGTACCAGATTCAGAAGAAGTATACTGCTACCCCACAGTTCTGTAGCTCTGCATTCTGCAGATTAACTTGTTTTTCGAAGTGTGTACGTAGTACTGGAGCTGTGGTCTAATAGAGAGCTACAAGCACACAGCCTTGAGTTTGATCCCTAACATCATAAGAAAATAAACAAGCCACACACATATAATGCAACATATTGTACACATAAACGTGTAAATATTTAAACAAAACACAGTTGTAGAATGCCAAACTGGAAGGTCTTCTCCCATCTGCATCATACCAATACTGCTCTATAAACTGCTTTTTGTGGACATTTTTCTACACCGCCTCCATGGCTACAGGGAGTATAATTTACTTCTAAAAATTAGGCAAACTGTGCCAATATACCCAAGGCCTGAAAGTGTTGGGGAAGGGAGAAATCCGGGAAATCAGAAGTGAATGACAGAGAAGGGGGAAGGTATATTCCACTAGAGTTCAGACCATTCCTTTAGAGTTCACAGTCTCTTACTCATGTGCAGGGTATGCCGATGGACTGTCAGCAAAGAGACCTCACACAACTCTGCTAGGGCAAAGGGAGCAGATGTTCAACATTGGTCATGACCCGCGGCCTAACTCGGGTTTCACATGGGGCGATCCAACTGGAGAACCCCTTCATTGCAAAGATCAACTTTGTTTTGGCAAAGAAGCCAGACAGCATTTTTGGGACAAACACACTTGGAGGAGCTTTCACTTTCTTACTTAGGGATGCAGATATTTCCCCCTCGTTCCAGGGTGGAGTAGAGACCATGACCTTCCACACTTGCCCAGTTGCGTAAGGCCAGTCCCCAGGCCCAGGCCCACCCGACCGTCTGATAAGCCTCCATCTGCAGCTTCATTCCTCACCATATTAGGAGAAAGTCCAGGCTGGCCTTCAACAGCTGTGTGTATTATTTTATTCCCAAACAATACTAGGAAAAAGGTACATGAAAAACAGAATGCAATCGTGTTACACAGAAACTCTTCCTAGGAAAACACCACTGGGTCAAACAGTAGATTGTAAGCATATGGTAATTACTAGCTACTCAGAGGGGCACTCAAAAAATTACCAGGGAAGATTTTAGTAGTACTCCAAAACTGTCTTTTTAGCTCTAATTTGTGGTGTATTTTAATGGTTACCAGAGATCCACAACTGATGGTTACCAATTGCATTAATATTTTATAATTTTACAGCTTCCTATGTAAATACCTTACAGAGCACAACTCTCCATTCACCCTTTGTGCGCTTTATGTTCTGTCTTTACACGCTTACATCTCCCAATAGTCATTACTGCTGATTCAAAGTAGTCAATACTTTTTTAAAACAATTAAGAGACTCATATTTATTGTTTTCATGGACCTTCATTCTTTCATGCACACTTATTTATGTATCACAGCAGGTTGGTTCAGCTTAGAGAAGTTGCTTTAGCATCTCTTGTTGTATTTCTTGGACTATAGAGGTGCTAGCAATAAATTCCCTCAGCTTTCTTTCCAGAGTATGTTTCTAATTTATTTTAATCTTGACAAATATTTTCACTGGGTGTAGAACTCTAGCATTTGTTTATCTTTTTAAAAAGAAGCCGTTCCGTTGTCTTGTGAACGCTCCTGATTCTGATGAGTAGGCCAGTTACAATTTTTATTGATGTTCTTCTAACGACAGTGTCTGTTTTCTCTGGCTGATCTTAACTGACTTTTCTCTTTACCTTTCATGTGGAGCAGTTGAATATTATGTGCCTAGGCTGTAATTTTCTTTTTATTTATTCTGTTTGAGATTTCCTGAGTTTCTTGAATCTGTGGGTTGATATCCATCATGATTTTTGAAATACTCTTACCCATTTTTTATTTAAATATTTCTTCTGCCTCTTGGGGAGCTCCAATAACATGACTGTTCGAGTGTTAGACATTGTCCCTAAGGTGCTTCATGATTTGCACTCCCCTTCCCCATCTTCTGAGCTTTAATTGAAGATTTCCTGTCTCTCTGTCTCTGTCTGTCTGTCTGTCTCTCTCCAGGCTTTCACTAAGCTACCAGGCTGGCCTCAATCTTACCTCTTCTGGCCTTGGCCTCCTGAGTAGCTGAGATGACAGACATGGGCCACCACACCCTGCTTTTCTACTGCTCCATTTCACCTTCAGTTTTTCTTTCTTCTGCTCATCTACTCTGCTGTAAGTCCACGCAATGGATGCTTCTTTTCCATTATTGTGTTTTTTCATATCAAAAATATTCAAATGAGTTCCTTTTTTAGAGATTTCGCTTTCCTGTTGCACACATATTTTTATGCATTTTTGTCCATCTTCCTTCCAATGTCTTTACCGTGTTTGTGTATGTGTGTGTGTGTGTGTGTGTGTGTGTGTGTGTGTGTGTTCCTTGTCTCTTAAGGCCACCAGGTCTGGGAACAGTGACTTTAAAGGAGACGGTCTTTCCCGGGTCACCCTTTCCTTTTTCTTCACATTATCACGTCACTTTTTATCGTATGGCAGAGTGGCTTGTAAAAGCACCCTAGAGGGCTGGGCACAGCCTCCCCTAGAAAGGGAGCCCTTCCCTCTCCTCTGAGTTCAGGGATGAACCACCGCAGTGTCATAAGGAGTTGAGCTGGGTCTGGGCTGGACTGGGCTTTCCTTGGTTTTAGTTCACCACTCGGTTCACAAGCATCAAGAGGGAAACCTGTCCTGCAGGTCCCAGATATGTCCTGCTAGGAGGGCTTGGGGACCTGCACCCCACCCCAGGCCTGGGGAGCTCTTCTGCATGACAGCCCTGCGCCCGCTGTTGCTGAGCTTTCAGTGAAGATCACAACAGAGGGAGACCTAGGTCTCCATGTGGGACTTCTGCCAATTCCGGTCTTCTACACATCCCACAGCAGCTCCCAATTAGAGTCCCTCTGAGGAGGCAGGGGTGATCTGGCCCTGCCTGGTACAGACCAGGAGCCATGTGACCAGGGGAGACCTGCCACCTGGGCTCCGCCTGCCAGGCAAAAGCTCCCCCTGCCTGGAGCGTGGCTCCCCACTACTCTCCCACACGGGCTTGAAAAGACAGAATTCTTCCATTTATCTCTTCTCTGTGGTTGTCGTAGTGAAGGGATAATCTCTCACAAACTAGTCTCCATCCAAACTGGAAGCAGGACTCCCACAATCACTGTAAGAAGCTGTATTTGTTTAGGCGCAGGCTGCAAAGTCTAGCCACCAGTTCACGTGAGAGTGTAGCCTGAAAGATACTTTCAAAGGACATTTCTTGCTAAGAAACACTCTGTGGGCTTTTATGAGCTCATATCTTCCGGAGATTCATGGGAACAATGTGCTTTCTTCCGCATGGCCTCCTTTGAGCCTTACATTATCCTAAGAGCACCCAAGCCAACGTCTGTCTCCTTAATGGACGAGGCAGGGAAGTGAGGCGCAGAGCTTCCCGATGCACCTGTCATTAATGCAAATTCCTCTTGACTGCAAGATGTCAGTGCTACCTTCCTGGGCTGCCCCTGCCCTTAGCTACTGCTAACCTCAGCTCCTCTGAAAGCCCACGCTCTTCCCTCAGGAAGCTCGTGCTCTGTTCCTCCCTGCCTGGAATGTTCTCCCCTGTGATGTGTGCAGCCCTCAATCTGCAAGCCAGCTCCTCCGCGTCCCCTCCCGGCTGCCCGAGGGTCACGCGTTTCCCATTATCTGAGGTCCCAGCCCTGATCGTCCTGTCCCCATGAGGACACACTCGCGTGTGACTTTGGCTCCTTCCCCACGGGGGTCTGTCATGCCCACTAGGAGAGAAAGTGTGTCTGTTTGCTCTGCACAGTGTCTGGAAAATGTTAGGAGCTCAGGCAAAGCAGCTGAGAGAGTAGCCAGCCACTGTGGAGACAGGCTGTGAGGTCAGACCCTCTCCGAGGAATTTCTGGTGCTAGCTTTTGGAGGAATAGCCATCTGGATCCATAGTAGTTGCACTAGTTTACATTCCATTCAACCCAGCTATACCCTTTCTAGCTAACTTCCTGAAAGAGTGAAAAACATGAAGCCACAGTG